GGCTAATTGAAAACAATTGATCTTTACATATCAAGCATCATGGCAGTGGAAAACGACTCACCATAGTACAGCCCATATCCCAGTTATCAGACTGTGGGTGAAAGATGTGCAGATATTTCTCCATTTCCAGGAGTTTCTGCAAGCAGTCTCGGGTATAGGGAGTTTACTGACACCACAGTTGACAAGTTTAAAAAATCCAATAGAGCCACTCGCCGTCAAAAGCACTGAATTCAACTCCATGGCCACGACAAACTCCTTTCTGTGTCCTCCTCCACTTGAAGAATTTAATGACCGAAAATTCGCGCGCTGTAGTTGTTCAAGATCTGACGCTCTCGCTCTCTCTGCTCGTGATTGATATTTACGCTGTCAAAGCAAACATGCTGACATTCCTTTGGTGTTCCGTGTTATTTAGCCGAAAGCGATAAATGTTATTTCGACCCACTGATGTCAGTCGAATCAAATGTAGGCAATTTGATGCTTTTGTCTCAGAAATGGAAGGTGAGGCATGGACGTCAATGATTATCTATTCTATTCTATGATTTCAGGTTGACGATTTTTATTGTAGTACCAGCCAAAGGAGAAGACAGAATTGCTTTCTCGAACGCATGTGCTGAGCGTGCGAATTTATGTAAAAGTTGTGAAACGCTCCTATTATAAAATTATCCTTCTCCTTGCTTGTGTAACTTGTGCTGTGCCGTAACCAAATAACACAGACAATCCCCGCCCTACTATAAGGGGCGCAGCTAGACTAATTGAAAGTACACGTCATGAATGTATCACCCCGCCTCCCTTCATTCATGAAGGATTATGGGAATAGTAGTTTCATGAAATGTACCAGACAAAATAGACACACGTTGGTTTGTTTGTGGGCCAGGACTGAGTTTGGGAAACCCTGGGCTATAATATGGCATGTGAGAGTCAAGGGGCTAAACCATGCCCTAGTTATTGTAGGCTACCGAAGTGCACACCTAATTTTCATTCATGTTCAAGTAACATCATGCTGACCGGCAGGCCCGGCACAAGCATCAGTTAACATGTGTTATACGTAAGCAATAAGGCCCGAGGAGGCACAGCATATGGTCAATATACCACGGCTAAGGGCAGTTCTTATGCAAGACGCGGAGTGCCTGGATACAGCTGTTAGCCGTGGTATATTGGCCATATATCACAAATCCCTGAGGTGCTTTGTTGCTATTATCAACTGGTTACCAACTTCATTAGAACAGTAAAAATATAGTTTTTGTCATACCTATGGTATACGGCCAACCAGCATTCAGGGCTCAAACCACCCAGTTTATAATGTGTATTGTAGTGCTGCTCACCTAGGCCTAATCCATGCACTTAAAGGTAATTTCTGTAGTAGGGAAAGGATAGGCCTGGAGTAAACCAACAGCAGACCAATTTAAACTTTTTAGGCTCAAACCAAATGGACGTAGGCTATGGCTAAACACCCAGTCTCATGGTTTTTCAAGTTTTTTTATTTTTTTATTTTTTATTTTACCTTTATTTAACTAGGCAAGTCAGTTACGAACAAATTCTTATTTACAGTGACGGCCTACACCGGCAATTTGTCATTTATGTTGTGTCCTACACAGACTGTAAATTATTCCCAGTCGAGGTCTCGATTTATTGTTGAGAGTTAGAATAGTCTAATAAAAAGCATGAGCTGGCACACACCCAGAAGAAATTATTTAGTGTATTTAAAAACATTGACCCCTAGTGGTCTGAATATTGACTTTCTTCTTCTTCTTCTTCAGTGGCGTTTATCGGCGGTTGGCATCCAACGTTATGGTGCATTACCGCCACCTACCGTACTGGAGTGTGGGCCAGAGACAGGGATAAACTAAATCCTACCTGCCAACCCAGTTTCTCTTAAAAAAGACAACAAAATATGTGATACTATATCTAATGACGTTCTACTCAATATACTCTTTAAACTAATTTCCTGTATCCCCTTCTCCCTCATACTTAATCTCATCCTCTCTCTTTCCATTTGATACTGCCCACACTGTAGCAATACATGCTCCACAGTCTCTATTTCCTGACAATAATCACATTTTCCTGATGGATGCTTTCCTATCACGCTTAGTGTCTTATTCAACTGGCTGTGTCCCACCCTTAATCTTGTAAATATAGCCTCCTCTCTTCTGTCCCTCCCTGCCGTCCTCCCCTCCCCGACTTTCCTCTGTACTTGAAATAAATGCCTTCCCTTAATATTTATATTCCACTGCTCCTGCCACCTCTGCACCATCACTGTATATATCAGTCTTTTTGCCTCTGCCTTGCTCATTGACACTTCAACATCAACATCCCCACTACTAAGTGCTTGTTTAGCCTGTGCATCTACTGCCTCGTTCCCCTCCACCCCCACATGGGCTGGAACCCAAGTAAATATTATCTGAATACCCATCTGTTTAATCCTGCCATGGGTTTGTAGCACCTCATAAACCAGGTATTGTCTGCTACGTGAGCTGAAGGACTGGAGACTCATTAACACTGCGCATGAGTCAGAGCAAATAACTACTCTGTCTGGCTTAGCTTCCTCCACCCACTGGAAGGCCAACAGTATGGCCATCAGCTCCGCCGTATATACAGCCAGATTATCTGTAATACGTTTCCTGACTTCCACCCCACATTCCTGCACTACAAATGCTGACCCAGTACATCCTGTCCTTGGATCTTTTGAACCATCTGTGTAAATGGCCACAAAATCCTGATACACAGTTTCCAGACGTCTCTTAAAGAAATCAGCTAGATCAACACCCTCCCTATCTTTCTGTAGTCTCTCCAAAACTTCAAGTTCAACTACTGGAGGCGGGAGTAGCCATGGACGATTTACAGGAATAACTACCGTTGGACAAACTCCCTTCCATACAGCCCCATCTCCTTCGCCTGGGTAATATTGACTTTTATCTCAGGCCCTTCTTTTGAACAATTATATTTTCTATGAACAAGTCTTATAATTGAATATATTCTTTCTACAGCTTATCCGTGCACACCTAATATGTTCCCCCTGTTGATGATGCTTATTATGCATTATGGTTGAACCAAAAGACTACATGTAACAAAAATTTAATGAAATTGGAAACAATTAAATATATATGTGAAATTAAATTAAACAATAATGTATGTTGATGCTAATATTATGCTAATGATAATGATAACAACAGCCTAATATATTTAATATGCTGTAAACTATTGTTTCACTCAATTCATTCTAATCAACCTAATAATTATGACACACCCCTCACTATTGTTATTGGTTGCACTAATTGCACTGTTTTGTCTACATAACCTGGTTCAAGCATTCATTACATTACCCTGAAGAAGGCACAGTGATGCCGAAACGTTGGTGGTTTACCCAATAAATAATTGGGAGTTTATCTCTTTGTTTTTATAGCTCAGAGTTAGAATAGTAAAATACACAAGGTGCAATTTCGAAATTTGGTTGTGCATTAGCAGTTTTTTTCTTGTTATGTCAGTCACTCAATTAGCCCATGTCAGCAAACTTTTTATTTATTGGTAAATTAGTCTAGTGGCCAGCTATCTAAACTTGTACTAATTATTATCGAATTACTGACTGGGTGGCCTCATTGATCACCAGATATCATGTTAAAAACTGCAAACATTTATCTCCACCCCATGGCAAAATGAGTAGAGGAAACCAAGGTAGCCCCAATACACTCCCCATCCCCCTCATACACTGACACCTGCTCATCGAACATCTCATTCCAAAATCTTGGGCATTAATATGGAGTTGGTCCCCCCTTTTCTGCTATAACAGCCTCCACTCTTCTGGGAAAGCTTTCCACTAGATGTTGGAACATTGCTGCTGGGACTTGCTTCCATTCAGCCACAAGAGCATTAGTGAGGTCGGGCGCTGATGTTAGGCAATTGTGTCATTATTCCTCTTCCACCAAACGTTACAGTTGGCACTATGCCTTGAGGCAGGTAGCGTTCTCCTGGCATCAGCCAACCCCAGATTCGTCCATCGGACTGCCAGATTGTGAAGCATAACTCATCACTCCAGAGAACGTGCTTCCACTGCTCCAGAGTCGAATGGCGGTGAGCTTTACACCACTCCAGCTGCCGCTTGGCATTGGGCATGGTGATCTTAGGCTTGTGTGTGGATGGAAACCCATTTCATGAAGCACCCAATGAACAGGTATTGTAATGACGTTTTGGAACTCTGTATTGAGTGTTGCAACCGAGGACAGATGATTTTTACACGCTACGCGCTTCAGCACTCGGCGGTCCCGTTCTGTGAGCTTGTGTGGCCTACCACTTCGGGCTGAGCCGTTGTTGCTCCTAGACATGTTCACTTCACAATAACAGCACTTACAGTTGAGGGGGTCATCTCTAGTAGGGCAGAAATCTGATGAACTGAATTGTTGGAAAGGTGGCATCCTATGATGGTGCCACGTTAAAAGTCACTGAGCTCTTCAGTAAGGCCATTCTACTGCCAATGTATGTCTATTAATATTGCATGGCTGTGTGCTCGATTTTATACACCTGTCAGCAACGGGTGTGGCTGAAATAGCCGAATCCACTCATTTTAAGGGGTGTCCACATACTTTCGTTTATATAGTGTATCTGTGAACGTAAACATTGAGGGGATTCTATTAATGCTTCCGATGAACCGGTTTAACGTTGATTGCATTATTTTTTGGAACCGGGCTGCCTCCCGGGCATGAGCCGGTTGCCCCGTTTTAAAGTCGGTTCAAAAGTGATGTAGGTTAAGCACTTGGAGTAATGATGAGTAGGATTTTGTGTTTGTGCACATGCAAACGCGATTGCTTTTGATAAAAACGCTTTATCTGCCTAGTTTGAACATTCGAACATATTTTCTATGGAAAAGAGATGTTGTAGGCTGCATTACGCTGCCTTGTTGACAACATGACCGAGCGGCGCAGATTAGGCTACTACTGTTCGCTTTGAGATGACGCTCCTCCCTCACTGCTTTTGCCCGTACCTATCACGGGCCATAGCCCAGTGCACCTAATCGAACTCCCTTACTGTGGTTATGGGAATTAGAGAAGTTCCCTGGCGCCGCCACTATCACATTTCTGCTTAGTCACTCTCACTGAACGTTTGGTTTGCACAAGTGGTGACTGTATGGGTTATATAGTTATGTTATTTTATCGCAACCAGACTACACCCTTAGGTAAGACGAGTTTAGCTTGTTTTGGTTCTTGGTGCTGCTGTGGGTAGAAGACGTCGCCGACGTCTTGGGACCATCTGCGAAGTGACAGATTGCAACATCACCGTGATACCGCGTGACAGTGGCTTGGGATGCTAGCGCGAACGACTCTTTGGTTAAAAAATAAGGCGACCAGCAGTTTTGTACAGAGATACGTTCAACGTTTCCTTTTCTCGGGGACCAGTGCATTGTCTGGCAGGAAAACAAGTGAGCAAAGTTGGTTATTTAGCAAATGAATGGGCTGTTCTAGGAAACTATGTTCGTAATTTTGACAGCGACCGTATAGCCATCAGTTGGAAAACACAGAAGCCCTCGGAGAGAATGGTTCCCCATTTGACAGCATTTAATTTAAAAAAGTGCTTCTTTAACCCATCCTCTTTGCATTATCTTCTTTATGGGAAAACACTACAGATAACCTTCCTTTTACATTTTCCCTGTGCAATATGATTTTATTCCTTGCAGATATGAGTCAAGGCCAGGGTCAAGCTCCTACAGGTCAGGACCAGGATCAGGTCACTGGGATGGTGTGTCTGGAGTCTGACCTGCAAGATGGACAGTAAGATCTTATCACACACCCATCACACAATCAGATAGCTTATTCATATTATAGTACTTTTGCTGCAAATGTAAGATACAAAATATATTATTCCATAGTAGGCCTAAAGGTAGAGTATTACACACCGACATGCAAGTATTCAAATAACATTGTATTACATTCATGTCATTACCCATGACTGGACCTTAGAGGCAATATGTAAAATACAGTAATACAACTTGAGTTGATCCTTTCCATGTTCTTCTTATATTTGTCAGGTATCTAAATGTGACTCTTTGCTTGTCTATAGGATGAAGGAGGTGGAGGTGGAGGAGCAGAAGATTCTATTGGTCCGTACCCAGGGCCTGTACAGTGCTGTAGGGAGCAAATGTTCCCACTATGGTGCTCCTCTCATCAAAGGTATTATCTACACACACATGCATGCACACACACTTGCAGGAGGGTAAGCAAGTCATGACATGTTCATGGCTGGGCCATGAGTTAGCAGTTATTATTATTTGTTCTAAACCATTGTGTTGAAAATTGGGTCAGCCCATACAGGCTTGTGTGTTTTGGTAGTCTATTCATTCATGTAGAGTGTATTTACATAGAGAACACTATTCAAAACTCTGTCATGAAAAATGTAATCTGGCAGGCTTGTTGACAGTTCCATTGATGCAAATTTACAATAATGGAATTTGTCAAGGTGTCATTCACCACGCTCTGTGGCTGCTGGCTATGCCCTTTTCATACGTCTCACATTACAATCTGATTGGGTGCAAATCATTATTCACAATCAGGGATGAAAGTAGGCCGGACCGGTGTCCTTGTAAGTAAATCGTGGGGGTAATAAACACAGGTATTAGTCACATTGGAGAGTGGAGAGAATATTGTGACCATATCCGTGCCCATGATAGTGTGGCTACTGTAGTGTTTTGAACAATGAATATGTCATGCTCTCTCATGTCACAGGAGCCTTAGTCGGGGACAGAGTGAGATGTCCCTTTCATGGTGCCTGCTTCAACATCAAGACTGGAGATATTGAGGAGTATCCCGGCTTGGACTGTTTGCCTAGTTATAAGGTATTAACTTGCTTTATATTAATAATGGAGTTCAATAACTGAGGAACAATAACTGAAACGATGGATACTGTATGTCTTTGAATGTGTTGATTCTGTCACCCACACTAACTCATCTTTATTTTCAAAGGTCAAAGTTGAAGATGGTAAAGTTTATGTGTCAGTAAACAAAAAGGTCAGCAAGAATGCATGATTTTCTGAACATAGTCTCTCTTTCCTAAATGTACATGTAGCTTACTGAGACATTTGGTGCATAGATGGCCCTTATGACTAAAGTATCCATAATCTCCTCAGTCTCTGAAGCTGTACAAGCGGGTGAAGGACATGAGCTGCAGAGTGCCAGGGGTCAGGCACACCGTCCTGCTGATAGGAGGAGGTGAGGACTGGGCCTGAAATGTCAGGAAAAGAGGAGGCTTCTTCAGGGAGTGGAGACCTCAAAACTAAATTATGTGTGTGTACAGGACCTGCCTCTTTGCTGTGTGCCGAGACTCTGCGACAAAACCGCTACGAAGGTCGAATCGTCATGGTGACCAGGGACACCCTGCCACCCATTGACAAGCCCAAGCTCAGCAAGGTAAGGGTCAAAGGTCATGGGTCAGTTGAAAGCTGGCATGACCACCGCTGTTCTAGAACGCTGTGAAGTTATTTTAGTATCCACAAAGTTTGTAATGCCCCTTCTCTTCCTCTCTTGCTACTCCTCCTCAGGCAATGCATTTGGAGAGTACTAGCCTCCTCCTTCGGACAACTGACTTCTTCCAGCAGCATGACATAGAGCTGTGGACGCAAAAGGAGGTGAGACCAGGGGGAGGAATAATGTGGCAATAATAAACCTGTTGACATAGCCTTCTGGAGTATCTTTTTATGAGTTGTCAGCACACACAATGTATTGAAGCCATAGAGATAATGTAGCATACTGTGTTTGGTCAGCACCTCCATGTGATCTAACTTGTGATCTAAGCCCTGGCATTTTCTAATGTGTGTGTGTTTGCCTGGGGTGTTTGTAGGCAGTATCTGTGAACCCAGTAGAGAAGACAGTGAAGCTGAATGACGGCTCCTTGCAGAACTATGACCAGCTGCTCATATCAACAGGCTGCAGGTCAGTGGCCTGTTACTGTTACCCCTCCCTTATTGAACACCGTTTGGGTCCTTATGTGTCAAAAAGATCCACGTTAAATTACGCTATTTGACGTGTCAAATAACCAAATTCTATTATAGAATGTTGTGTGCGCTGAATTTGCATATGCAGGCCAAGCACCACCACTACAGTCAGTAGCACTGTCAAAGCAGTACAAAAAAAAGTCTGCAAACAAGCACACACACCAGCACCTATTTATGTGTTTACAATACCGCGTTGGTAATAAGACATCATTTGTTAGACTGAATGGGAAAACAGTGTGAACAGCCTTCCATTATCGTCCCTAGAGTGAATACAATACTTGTCAGCACTAAGCAACAGGTGGATATTTTTAGGTCCTTTTGTTGACTACAGTAATCAAATATGGGCACAGTTAAAGAACATTTGATTTGAAACAGCCACACTCTGGTCCCCTGCCTGTCTTGGTATATGCTACCTAGACAATGTCAGAGCCATAGCTATAGTCCTACAGCGTTTGTCACCACATTTTCCATGACAATCACATTCTCATTTGAATTGGTGACCATTTGAATTCTAGATGTCAAACTCTACTGAATCTGTATGCCTATGTATCTATTGCTCTGTCCCATACTAGCATGTTAGTTGTCGTTTTACCCACATCTCCCTCTCTTTTTGCCTCCCTGTAGGGCGAGGCCTCTGAGCTGTCCTGGCTCTGAGCTGGAGGGAGTGAGGATACTGCAGAGCTACGAGGACGCCAAGGAGATCCACCAATCCTGTGTGGGAAAGAAGGCTGTGGTCGTTGGAGCCTCCTTCATAGGTTAACCATAAAGAGTCCTATTTTTTATTTTTATTTATAAATTAAATGTATAAGTAGTTTATAAACTATAGGTTTGTGACTTGGTTCGTTACAGTAAGGTAAGGTTTTTGTATTTGATAAGTAAGACTTTAATTAGATTTTTGTGCCTCAAAACCAAGTTTTCCCTCCTCCATTTTATGTCATAGGTATGGAGGTGGCATCCTACTTGGCAGACAAAGCTGCCAGTGTGGCGATGGTTGGCAACTGCTCATATCCCTTTGAGAGGTCCCTGGGCCCAGAGATTGGGAAGATGACAATGCAGGTCTGAGACAATGGTTATCATATGTAATGTACTTTACCTGATACAACACCCACCACTAGGCTACAAACGTTTATGAATATGTAACTCCCAAGTTTTTATAGTATAAATCTCAACATGTGTGTGTTTCTCATCTGTCGAAGATGTTGGAGGAGAGCAAAGTCAAGTTCTACATGAATGACGGAGTGGTGGAGATCAGAGGCGAGAATGGCAAGGTAAAGTAAATCAATATTCACCCAGCAGTAAACATCACCACAACCCCCTCACTGTAATACATGTAATGGACATTCTCTCAAGACCCATAGAGATGATTAAGATGGAAAATTGTTGTTTGAATAGGTGAAAGAGGTTGTTCTGAAAAGCGGTGCAGTCGTGGAAACGGATGTGGTGATAGCAGGGATCGGTAGGTAATCTGATACTTCTGCATATCCTTAAATATCCGTAAAAGATATGTTAAGAGTTTCCATCAGCTCACACTTTCCCTGTTTAACCTCTCTACATGGTCTCTGTGGTACTTTCCCATCTTATTTCCACCATTTGTTTGAATTAACCAGACCTGGGTTCAAATAGTATTCGATGTCAGGCAAGTTCAATCAAGTAGAGCTGAAATATTTTAAAGAAAATAAATACTATTAGAACCCAGGTATGATAGATGGTTTTTCACAATGTCTCTAATGTACACTACACTATTGGAGTTATTGAGGTAACCATCATGGTTTCTCCTTAGGTGTCATTCCTAACTCTGACTTCCTGAAGGAAAGCCAGGTGGAGGTGGATTCTAGAAAGGCTGTCATCATTGATAAGGTAACTATGGAGATGGTTATCATGAACAAACTATAGTTATGTTGAGGTAATAACTGTGGTACTAATGGTTTACACTCCCCAACACATTGCTGCTTCCCTACAGTTCATGAGGACCAACATTCCAGATGTTTTTGGAGCAGGAGACGTGACGTCCTTCCCTCTCACCATACGGAAAGACCAGAGGGTCAACATCGGACATTGGCAGCTGGCATCAGCTCACGGTAAAATCAAATTTGATTTGTCACATGTTTCGTAGACAAAAAGTGTACACAAACGGTGAAATACTTACTTATGGGTCCTTTTCCAACAATGCAGAGTTAAAGATAAGATAAACAAAGTAATAGAAATAGTGACATGAGGAATAAAAACCCAGTGAATAATGAATAGAAATAATGAGTAAAAAGAACATGGCTATATACAGGGAGGAGAAAATAACTATGGAAATGGCAACGAGAGATTGTCAGTTGGTTGGATGTTAGAAATAGAATTGACTAACATTTTTTATGTGTTTGCTTTCTCCTCAGGAAGGGTTGCAGCACTGAATATGTTACAGAAGCAGACTAAGATCGATTCTGTTCCTTTCTTCTGGACAGTGCTGCTAGGGAAGAGTGTCCGCTACACAGGTGATAATCCGAGATGAGATAGTCATACCCCTACACTCTTAGAAAAATTGTTCTAAACGGGTTCTTTGGCTCTCCCCATAGGATAACCCCGGTAGAACCCTTTTGAGTTCCATGTAAAACCCTCTGTGAAAAGGGTTCTACATGGAACCCAAAAGGGTTCTACCTGGAACCAAAAAGGGTTCTTCAAAGGGTTCTCCTATAGGCCCTTTTCACGATGACGTCATCTAACTTCCGCCTTTCCGCGTAGCAGGTTAACTTCACTTCCGTTCGCCCGTAACCTGAGACTTCTCAACGAAAATACAACTGTTGACCACTAACTAGCAAGCTAGCTACTTGAAGAAATTCCAAAAGGTACGTTTAAGTTAAATTAGTAAAGTTAAGAGTAATAATGTTTACGTATATGCAATGGTTTGTAACTTGCTAACGTTATTGTTAATTCATAATTGTTCACTGCCTTAGTTACTTAAAAGTGGGCTAACGTTAGCTAACAACAACTTAGTACCAGATACCGATAACGTTAAAAGGTAGCGTTACATTGCTGCCTGGCTGTAATGTAACAAGTTTACTTAGCTAGCTATCTAACCCTTTGTTAGGCAGTTAGTTTATTCATGAATGTATAGTAACTCACCTATTCAAATACTGTTGTGCATGATAGCTAGATAAATATTGATTCCTGGTCAAAGCTGAATGTTAATTTAGCTGTTTCTTTTCTCCCGGTGTCTGTATCGCAACAGTATCCCATCCAACACCGAAGCATGGCACAATCTTCGAGAAGATGCTATTGCAGTGTACCATTTTGTTCAAACAACAAACAGAAATTCCCGTATCTGAGTTTTCACGATTTCCCTGTTGATGGAGAAATACGTGCCCGTTGGGTGAGGGCGATCAGGAGAGATGAGGGACCAAGTTTTAAGATTCTTCGTGGGAGCACCTTTGTTTGCAGTCAGCACTTTCCCCCTGAGGATAGATACACATCGGCCAGTGGACGGATCCGTATTAAACAGGGATCAGTGCCGTCTAGATTCCACTGGAATGATTGGGGTAAGGATAGGTAGACAGCGTTAAACGTAATACTACTGTAATCCAATAATATATTACTTATCAAGCTTCGATCTTGAAGTAAGGGACCACTTGTCAGCAAGTCGTTCTACGTCGTTAAGTCGTATTGGTGGCAGATGTGAAAGGGACTGGGTGAACTCCATAATGATGTGCTACTAGCTAAGCGTTCCTAAGCGACACCGGATGTAAACATAACCTGCATCGCGGCAGAACGGAAGTTGTCTGACGTCACGTGAAAAGGGCCTATTGGGACAGCCGAAGAACCCTTTCAGGTTCTGGATAGCACCTTTGTTTCTAAGAGTGTAGAATGAAACAGAAACAGTCCCTGTTCAATTAACTTAGTGTATTCGGAAAGTATTCAGATCCCTTGACTTTTTCCACATTTTGTTACGTTACAGCCTTATTCCCTCATCAATCTACACACAATACCCCATAATGACAAAGAAAAAAGTTTTGGGAAAATTTTGCACATTTATAAAAATAAATATCACATTTACGTAAGTATTCAGACCCTTTACTCAGTACTTTGTTGAAGCACCTTTGGCAGCTTGGCACACCTGTATTTGGGGAGTTTCTCCCATTCTTCTCTGCAGATCCTCTCAAGCTCTGTCAGGTTGGATGGGGAGCATCGCTGCACAGCTATTTTCAGGTCTCTCCAGAGATGTTTGATCAGGTTCAAGTCCGGGCTCTTGCTGGGCCACTCAAGGACATTCAGAGACTTATCCCGAAGCCACTCCTGCGTTGTCTTAGCTGTTTGCTTAGGGTCGTTGTCCTGTTGGAAGGTGAACCTTCGCCCCAGTCTGAGGTCCTTAGCACTCTGGAGCAGGTTTTCATCAAGGATCTCTCTGTACTTTGCTCCGTTCATCTTTCCCTCGATCCTGACTAGTCTCTCAGTCCATGCCGCTGAAAAACATCCCCACAGCATGATGCTGCCACCACCATGCTTCACCGTAGGGATGGTGCCAGGTTTCCTCCAGACATGACGCTTGGCATACAGGCCAAATAGTTTAATCTTTGGTTCCAGAGAATCTTGTTTCTCATGGGCTGAGAGTCCTTTAGGTGCCTTTTGGCAAACTCCAAGAGGGCTGTTATGTGCCTTTTCCTGAGGAGTGGCTTCCGTCTGGCCACTCTACCATAAAGGCCTGATTGGTGGAGTGCTGCAGAGATGGTTATCCTTCTGGAAGGTTCTCCCATCTCCACAGAGGAACTCTGGAGCTCTGTCAGAGTGACCATCAGGTTCTTGGTCACCTCCCTGACCAAGGCCCTTCTCCCCTGATTGCTCAGTTTGGCCAGGTGGCCAGCTCTAGGAAGAGTCTTGGTGGTTCCAAACTTCTTCCATTTAGGAATGATGGAGGCCACTGTGTTCTTGGGGATCTTCAATGCTGCAGAAATGTTTTGGTACCCTTCCCCAGATCTGTGCCTCAACATAATGTCTCGGAGCTCTTCGGACAATTCCTTCAACTTCATGGCTTGGTTTTTGTTCTGACATGCACTTTCAACTGTGGGATCTTATATAGACAGGTGTGTGCCTTTCCAAATCATGTCCAATCAATTGAATTTACCACAGGTAGACTCCAATCAAGTTGTAGAAACATCTCATGGAAGATCAATTTAAACAGGATGCACCTGAGCTCAATTTCGAGTCCATAGCAACAGGTCTGAATAGTTATGTACATAAGGTATTTCTAAAAAACTGTTTTCGCATTGTCGTTATGGGGTGTTGTGTGTTGATTGATGAGGAAAATACTTTCCAAATGCACTGTATGTTGTCTTATTTGTCTCTCATACCTATCGTTTCCAAGGCTACGGTGAAGGATACACAGAGATCATATTCAAGGGCATAGTTGAGGAGAGGAAGTTCCTAGCTTTCTATATCAAGTAAGTGGCAATGCATTGCTTTACATTCCCTGTTTTGGTCGGTAGTTTTGTAAATGTCTTATCTATGCCTAAGATGCATCGTGTGTAGTTGGGCACAACGTAGCAAAATGTTATGCAACAGAAATGAAAATGAGTGTTCTTATTGGACAGGACAAGTTCTATTTTTAAATGTTTCCTGAATCCTGCCTACTGAACACAACTCTGAAAGCATACATATGTGATAACCAGGGATGATCAGGTGGTGGCAGCAGCCAGTCTGATGTTTGACCCTGCTGTCGCTCGACTGGCAGAGATGATGTCAAACGGATTAGTCATAACCAAGGCACAGGCACAGTGAGTTACCCACCATTTTATATGTACATAGGTAAGATAAATAGATTAGAGAAAGTTGCAGTGTGTTAATGCCTTAGAATGGCGTTAAGTTAATTAAAATGTTGTATTTCTCTTTTGTAGATCTGATGACCTCAGTTGGTTACAAATGTAAACCTCCCCTTCCTGCAACACTCCGTGGTCAGTGCCTGGTCCGACGGTACCCCCTTTAACCCTCAAATCAAGAGATAAAATATTTGTTGATCTTACTCTTCTCTCGGTTTCCTTATTACTCTTTATTTTTTCCCCTCTCTTGCTAAAGTAGATTTTTCCATTAAAACCAAACCAAAGGCTGTTCAGATCTGTCCAAGGCACCGTTACCATGGTTACATAGTACTTTGATTCCATTAAGTTCCCTGGCCTGTGGGCCCTTTGATGATAACACATAAAATGTGCAAGAACAACTCATTAATAGACAGTGAGTGGGAACAGCATAATACAATTAACTCAAATGGCAACAATTCAGACTGTATTGAAGGCTTTGAGATATAGAGACTATACCTCTGCTGTTACAACAGACTGAGATGGACAATGAATTAAATGGTCTGAATAACTAAGACTGTAATCTGCTAGTTTGTTAAACATTGTACTGTTACTGTACAATAAAAAGCCAAATTATCTGTTTGTCCATTTTTGTTTACACCTTCAAAGATACTGTATGTTATTTTACTGCTTGCAATGGTATTTAGTTTGATTCATACGGTTTGTTCTTAGCATTCTTACCCATAACTTTTACATGTGTGCAAGAGGATAATCCAAGCAAGATATTATTTGAAATAATACCATCTTATTTCTTATACTTCTTTATCTTTTGTGGTGCACAGTTAGATAGCTCTCTTTTCCGAAAGAACGGACAATATTTTCTATTGTTCAAATTATTTTTTAAACTTCTTTCTGCACACAAAATATTCAAAGTATTGAATAGCCTTTTTCTTCACTTATATTACTGAATGGAAAGACATCCATAGGCCTATACTGTACGTGAACTTTGATGCACAAGGCTTATTTGAATACAGATATTGGGATGCTGTCACGGTTTCGGCCGAGGCTGCCTCTCTTCCTTGCTCGGGCAGGCTTCGGCGGTCGTCGTCTCCGGAGTACTAGCTGCCACCGTTGAATGTTTCTATGTTCGTTTGGTTTTGTCTTTATGTTGTACACCTGTTTTCGTTTAGCGCTAATTAGTGTCCTATAAGTTCTCGTTGTGTTTGTCAGGTGTTGTGTGTGATTGTTTCGCTGTCGTGTTTGTGCGCTACTGTTGCCCGTTTGCTCTTCGTGGTTTTCCTCCTCTGTTTAGGAGGGTAGTTTCGCACATGTTAGTGCGCCTTTTGGTTTACGCCTGTGTGTGTATTTTCTCGCCTCCGGGCTTTTTGGCTCGTGTATTTAGTGTGCTTTCACTAAAGTCTTTTAGACTAATTTTCTGCGTCCTGCGCCTGATTCCTGCACCACACCCACCTACAGCACCCACTGACAGATGCAAAGTTTATTTTTAATGTTGCACTTATCATTATTTTTAATCAGCATATAATTGTGAAAATATTCATACATTTCATTCCTCTAAGCAGCTGATGCCTTGTGCTCAGAATGATGTTACTGAGGTAGTCCTGATTGGTATTCCTCTTACTTGGGTATAGATTAATTTGCCATTTACCTTGTTAACAGTAATAAATATTTTCACAGTGCTGTGTAAATGGTTGGTCTCAGGCATACAGTGGGGAGAACAAGTATTTGATACACTGCCGATTTTGCAGGTTTTCCTACTTACAAAGCATGTAGAGGTCTGTAATTTTTATCATAGGTACACTTCAACTGTGAGAGACGGAATCTAAAACAAAAATCCAGAAAATCACATTGTATGATTTTTAAGTAAATCATTTGCATTTTATTGCATGACATACGTATTTGATACATCAGAAAAGCAGAACTTAATATTTGGTACAGAAACCTTTGTTTGCAATTACAGAGATCATACGATTCCTGTAGGTCTTGACCAGGTTTGCACACACTGCAGCAGGGATTTTGGCCCACTCCTCCATACAGACCTTCTCCAGATCCTTCAGGTTTCGGGGCTGTCGCTGGGCAATACAGACTTTCAGCTCCCTCCAAAGATGTTCTATTGGGTTCAGGTCTGGAGACTGGCTAGGCCACTCCAGGACCTTGAGATGCTTCTTACGGAGCCACTCCTTAGTTGCCCTGGCTGTGTGTTTCGGGTCGTTGTCATGCTGGAAGACCCAGCCACGACCCATCTTCAATGCTCTTACTGAGGGAAGGAGGTTGTTGGCCAAGATCTCGCGATACATGGCCCCATCCATCCTCCCCTCAATACGGTGCAGTTGTCCTGTCCCCTTAGCAGAAAAGCATCCCCAAAGAATGATGTTTCCACCTCCATGCTTCACGGTTGGGATGGTGTTCTTGGGGTTGTACTCATCCTTCTTCTTCCTCCAAACACGGCGAGTGGAGTTTAGACCAAAAAGCTCTATTTTTGTCTCATCAGACCACATGACCTTCTCCCATTCCTCCTCTGGATCATCCAGATGGTCATTGGCAAACTTCAGACGGGCCTGGACATGCGCTGGTTTGAGCAGGGGGACCTTGCACGCGCTGCAGGATTTTAATCCATGACGGCGTAGTGTGTTACTAATGGTTTTCTTTGAGACTGTGGTCCCAGCTCTCTTCAGGTCATTGACCAGGTCCTGCCGTGTAGTTCTGGGCTGATCCCTCACCTTCCTCATGATCATTGATGCCCCACAAGGTGAGATCTTGCATGGAGCCCCAGACCGAGGGTGATTGACCGTCATCTTGAACTTCTTCCATTTTCTAATAATTGCGCCAACAGTTGTTGCCTTCTCACCAAGCTGCTTGCCTATTGTCCTGTAGCTCATCCCAGCCTTGTGCAGGTCTACAATTTTATCCCTGATGTCCTTACACAGCTCTCTGGTCTTGGCCATTGTGGAGAGGTTGGAGTCTGTTTGATTGAGTGTGTGGACAGGTGTCTTTTATACAGGTAACGAGTTCAAACAGGTGCAGTTAATACAGATAATGAGTGGAGAACAGGAGGGCTTCTTAAAGAAAAACTAACAGGTCTGTGAGAGCCGGAATTCTTACTGGTTGGTAGGTGATCAAATACTTATGTCATGCAATAAAATGCAAATTAATTACTTAAAAATCATACAATGTGATTTTCTGGATTTTTGTCTCTCACAGTTGAAGTGTACCTATGATAAAAATGACAGACCTCTACATGCTTTGTAAGTAGGAAAACCTGCAAAATCGGCAGTGTATCAAATACTTGTTCTCCCCACTGTATATAGTATGAAAAATGTATGCACTCGCTCTGGATAAGAGCGTCTGCTAAATGACTAAAATGTAAATATATGTTCGAAAACTACTGGGTGTTCTGTGTAATCTGTAGCTTTTTGACTCTTAAGAATAAAATGACTATTCTATGACATGTCTTCATTGCCTTTGGAAGTCTTTATGGTAAAGTCATTTGGATTAATGGTAGTCTATAACACATTTGTTCAATACACAATAGACCTATGCCCCATATGCTATGGTTCAGGTGGCCCTGTGTAGCTCAGTTGGTAGAGCATGGCGTTTGCAACGCCAGGGTTGTGGGTTCGATTCCCCCGGGGGGCCAGTATGAAAAAATGTATGCACTCACTAAGTGTAAGTTGCTCTGGATAAGAGCGTCTGCTAATTGACTAAAATGTAAAATGTGAGAAATAAGAGTAGCTGCCTAGGCATATGTGGGAGTAGAGGGAAATTAGGATGTGGATGTTATCACCAAGCAGGCTCTTAAACGTCCTAATGTTGAAATGGAATTGTCAATCAGTAAAGCAGAAGCTAAGGGGTTGATAAAAACAGGTTAAAAACAAAAGGAAATATTTGTGGATAAGGGTGGGAAAGGGAAGACACCTGTATAAGATTCAGGAAAAGGTGGGAGCAGCGAGGTCCTCAGGCCGAGAGACAAGGGATGAAAATGTCATCATAAGGCTCAATAGTACATAGAAATTGGTGGGGAAACATCCGACTAGGAGGTGTGATCATTGTCAGGAGGAGATGGAGACAGTGGAACACGTTCTATTTCAGTGCCAGAAATATGGAAGGGAAAGGGAGCGATTGTTATTAGATTTGAGTAATGGGGTTGAAGAGCCAAGATGAAGTGCCCTTCTGGGGAAATCTTCAGGGTATGTAGTATTTCGTTTCCTTAAGGAGACGAGAATATTGGATAGGATTTATATCTTCCGTCTCTGGTCCACACTCCAGTCCAGTTGGTGGCGGTAATGCACTTTAAAGTTGGTTGCCAATCGCCATGTAAAATCCACAGAAGAAGACGAAAGTGACTTGGCTCTGCTTTCTGCGGTAGCTAGCTAACGTTAGCTGTTCATGATGATGGAGGAGGAAGAATTGGAATTTGCGGAGGATTTGGAGGCTATTTTGCACCTTACTCCAGAGGTGCAGTTGGCCATCGAGCAGGTAATCGTGCTAAGAAGGATAGTTTCTTATCGACAAGGAAAATGGTAGTCTGTATTCAGGCATGAGCTAGATAGCTAGTTTACCTAACGTTAGCTTGCTACCTATGATAGCTAACGTTAGATGTGTTGTTATCCTAGTTAGCTAGCTAGCTACACTAGGCTTGTCAGCTGTTTTAGTGAACTTTGCGTATAGCTAGATCAGTTATTTTCAATACATTTCAACAGTCATCAAATTGTCTGTGTGAAGTTTTGTATTTCTAGCTATTAACCACTGTATAGGCTAGCTGTTAAGCAAGGAAGAACCAACAACATGTATTTATTGAGTCATATTTATATGCCTTAGGTTTTCCCCAGTCAAGACCCATTGGACAGAGCAGATTTTAATGCTGTGGAATACATCAATACATTGTTTCCCACTGAGCAGGTAAGACTGGAGTCCTTCACTTCACAGAAACTAAAGTCCCTTTATATTACACCAAGGCTCTCGTCTTGGATACTTCTGAGTTCCTAAGCTATATCATTTCATACCTATGTTGTTTAGGGCTGTCCCCGACTAAAACAAATATAGGTCGACCGAGAGTTGCTACTGCCTGTAAACACACAATCCAGTTCAAAGTAAATGATGGCAGGCACTTGTGGCAAATTGCTTATTTGCATATAGGCCTACTGTAGCTCTGATTGGCGATGGCGCACCGGTCTGCATAGACTCCGGTCCTGGACAAGACAAGACCAATGTTTTTATTAGGTTTTATTTACTGCAGTGTCTATTAATTGTCCAAACCCATGGCCGCTTTAGAATGCTATAGAGTTTTCACAAATGCCTTACTATACGTAATTCTTAAACATTCTATGAATTTATGAAAACGTGAAAATGACCATATCCTAGTTCTCCTGGAACAGCACCATGTACTCAGAGAGGTGCTGTCTGATGAACTTCTTGATGATCTCCTGTTTGATGCGGGGGTCCAAGACGTTGGCGTACAATTATAATATACATTACATACATTATATAATGTATAGTCACACATATACAGTGCATTCGGAAAGTATTCAGACCCCTTCACTTTTTTCAACATTTTGTTACGTTACAGACTTATTCTAAAATTGATTAAATTGTTTTTCCCCCCCTCTTCAACCCACACACAATATCCCATAATGACAAAGTGAAAACTGGTTTTTAGAAATGTTTGCGAATGTATACAAAAATATATATATATATGACATTTACATAAATATTCAGACCCTTTGCTATGAGACTCGAAATTGAGCACAAGTGCATCCTGTTTCCATTGATCATCCTTGATGTTTCTACAACTTGATTTTAGTCCACCTGTTATAATTTAAATTGATTGGACATGATTTGGAAAGGCACACACCTGTCTATATAAGGTCCCACAGTTGACGGTGCATGTCAGAGCACAAACCAAGCCATGAGGTCTAAGGAATTGTCCGTAGAGCTCCGAGACAGCATTATGTTGAGGCACAGATCTGGGGAAGGGTACTAAAAAAATTCTGCAGCATTGAAGGTCCCCAAGAACACAGTGGCCTCCATCATTCTTAAATGGAAGAAGTTTGGAACCACCAAGACTTTTCCTAGAGCTGGCCGCCCGGCCAAACTGAGCAATCGGGGGAGAAGAGCCTTGGTCAGGGAGGTCACCAAGAACCCGATGGTCACTCTGACAGAGCTCCAGAGTTCCTCTGTGGAGATGGGAGAACCTTCCAGAAGACAACCATCTCTGCAGCACTCCACCAATCAGGCCTTTATGGTAGAGTGGCCAGACGGAAGCCACTCCTCAGTAAAAGGCACATGGCAGCCCGCTTGGAGTTTGCCAAAAGGCACCTAAAGGACTCTCAAACCATGAGAAACAAGATTCTCTGGTCTGATGAAACCAAAATTGAACTCTTTGGCCTGAATGCCAAGCGTCACGTCTGGAGGAAACCTGGCACCATCCCTACGGTGAAGCATGGTGGTGGCAACATCATGCTGTGGGGATGTTTTTCAGCGGCAGGGACTGGGAGGCTAGTGAGGATTGAGGGAAAGATGAACAGAGACATCCTTGATGAAAACCTGCTCCAGAGCGCTCAGGACCTCCGACTGGGGAGAAGGTTCACCTTCCAACAAGACAACAACCCTAAGCACACAGCAGAGACAACGCAGGAGTGGCTTCGGGACAAGTCTCTGAATGTCCTTGAGTGGCCCAGCCAGAGCCCAGACTTTAACCCGATTTAACATCTCTGGATAGACCTTAAAATAGCTCTGCCACAACGCTCCATCCAATCTGACAGAGCTTTAGAGGATCTGCAGAGAAGAATGTGTGCCAGATACAGGCGTACCAAGCTTGTAGCGTTATACCCAAGAAGACTTGAGGCTGTAATCGCTGCCAAAGGAGCTGAATACTTATGTAAATGTAATATTTCCGTTTTTTTTATTAAATACATTTGCAAAATTTTCTAGAAAATGTTTCTGTTTTTGCTTTGTCATTATGGGGTATTGTTTGTAGATTGATGAGAAAATGTAATCAATTTTTGAATAAGGCTGTAATGTAACAAAGTGGATAAAGTCAAGGGGTCTGAATACTTTCCGAATGCACTGTAGGCCTACAGCTCAATGGTGGTTATACAAGGCTACTATACAAAGCCTACTAATGATAACTACATTACTTATTATTATAATAATGATCATAGTAATAATTGTAATAATAACAGTAAGAAGGCGATCAAGAAAAAGCAGGGTATAGGAGCAAGTGCTGCGTGCATATTATTTGTGACAAACAGGTGCTGTTACATTACAAAATTATTTTTCTGCCTGTTTGTAAGTGTAAATCACACTAAATAAATTAAGTAATACCAGTCTGTTCTAACGAAAAACTATTGTAAAGCCTTTATTACAGCATAGCAAAGATTAAAAACAGCCAAATCTGTGAAATTGCTTTATCCGACATTTTGCCGTTGCATGAGGCTTGGTGCTCATGGAATCAGTAGGCTATTAAACAAACACTCAAACAGGCAACAGAAGCAATATGTCTTATTTCTTTAGATATACAGTACCAGCCAAAAGTTTGGAGACACCTACTCATTCAAGGGTTTTTCTTTATTTTTACTATTTTCTACATTGTAGAATAATAGTGAAGACATCAAAACTATGAAATAACACATATGGAATCATGTAGTAACCAAAAAAGTGTTAAAAAAATCAAAATATATTTTATATTTGAGATTCTTCAAAGTAGCCACCCTTTGCCTTGATGACAGCTTTGCACACTCTTGGCATTCTCTCAACCAGCTTCACCTGGAATGCTATTCCAACGGTCTTGAAGGAGTTCCCACATATGCAGAGCACTTGTTGGCTGCTTTTCCTTCACTCTGCGGTCCAACTCATCCCAAACCATCTCAATTGGGTTGAGGTCGGGTGATTGTGGAGGCCAGGTAATCTGATGCAGCACTCCATCACTCTCCTTCTTAGTCAAATAGCCCTTACACAGCCTGGAGGTATGTTGGGTCATTGTCCTGTTGAAAAACAAATGATAGTCACACTAAGTGCAAACCAGATGGGATGGCGTATTGCTGCAAAATGCTGTGGTAGCCATGCTGGTTAAGTGTGCCTTGAATTCTAAATAAATCACAGACAGTGTCACCAACAAAGCACCATCACACCACCTCCTCCATGCTTCACGGTGGGAACCACACATGCAGAGTTCATCCGTTCACATACTCTGCATCTCACAAAGACACGGCGGTTGGAACCATAAATGTCAAATGTGGACTCATCAGACCAAAGGACAGAATTCCACCGGTCTAATGTCCATTGCTCGTGTTTCTTGGCCCAAGCAAGTCTCTTTGCAGCAATTCGACCATGAAGGCCTGATTCACACAGTCTCCTCTGAACAGTTGATGTTGAGATGTGTCTGTTACTTGAACTCTGTGAAGCATTTATTTGGGCTGCAATTTCTGAGGCTGGTAACTCTAATAAACGTATCCTCTGCAGCAGAGGTAACTCTGGGTCTTCTTTCCTGTGGCGGTCCTCGTGAGAGCCAGTTTCATCATAGCGCTTGATGGTTTTTGCGACTGCACTTGAAGAAACTTTCAAAGTTCTTGAAATGTTCCGTATTGACTGACCTTCATGTCTTAAAGTAATGATGTCCAATTTGTAAGTCGCTCTGGATAAGAGCGTCTGCTAAATGACGTAAATGTAAATGTAATGATGGACTGTCGTTTCTCTTTGCTTATTTGAGTTGTTCTTGCCATAATATGGACTTGGTCTTTTACCAAATAGGGCTATCTTCTGTATACCAACCCTGCCTTGTCACAACACAACTGATTGGCTCAAACGCATTAAGATAAAATTAACTTTTAAGAATGCACACCTGTTAACTGAAATCCATTCCAGGTGATTACCTCATGAAGCTGGTTGAGAGAATACCAAGTGTGCAAAGCTTTCAAGGCAAAGGGTGGCTACTTTGAAGAATCTAAAATCTAAAATATATTTTGATTTGTTTAACACTGTTTTTGGTTACTACATGATTCCATATGTGTTTGATGTCTTTATTCTACAATGTAGAAAATAGTTTTTTTTTTAAAATGGAATGAGTAGGTGTGTCCAAACTTTTGACTGGTACTGTATATGGATGATTTATAAAACCAGGCACATTTAACATTTTGGCTATTGATTATAGACCTAATGAAGTTGGGTCTATAATCTCGCTCCTCAATTTTCTTAGACATTTAGGCTAAGCCCTATTCGAACGGGACTAGTATTACTAGAGAACGTTGGTTATGTAATTATGTCGGTTATTCCAGAGGACAATTCAGACGGGATTAGTTTTTATTTTTTACAAACTGCCCCCGTCACTCTTTTTATTTTTTATTTTTTATAAATTGACAGTTATGACAGAAGCCTTTAGGTTGTTTTCTAGGCGTGTTTTCTAGATATTTCAACAACTCCAGGCGATAACAGGGCTACACTGATAACTCGAGCTTGGTTCCGAAGTTTCTAAACCATACCAAACCATCTTTGGTATAGTGTCACCATAATATTTGAATTGAGGAAGTGTGATCATAATCATTAAGATATTTTAGTGATCCGCACTAGACGGCCTAAATGCCCCACAGCCTTCAGATGTACTTGCACTTTGGATGCGAAAGTGATCTTATCATTTCCAAACGTTTAGGTCAGTTGTATGCTGCTTTGCGATCTTTTAACAGCAAGGGTTACATTAAATAGGCACAATATGTTTTACTGATGCATTTGGCAATATTCAGTTAATATGTACAAAACATATGAACAAAAGCATTCACTGTGAAAGATGATACATGTAGGTCCTTCATATATAGGCTATGCGCAGCACTTTGTTCAATTTATCGAATCAGCTATTGTTTTCTTGCTCAAACCGTGAGCAACACCTGTAAAACTCAGACATTTCGCACAAAACACAGGAATGTCGATTCGCACAGGACTAGTATTATCAGAGAACCTTGGGGTTTGCCAAAATACAGTAGGTTATTCTGGCTGGAATTGTTACTCTCCTGCCATGTACAAATTACTGACATGGCAGATTCGGACTGGACTAAAATGACAGATGTGGTGTTTTGTGCTTGTGCACATAATTACATTACCCGATCACCCCCAGTAAAACTAATCCCGTTTGAATAGGGTTCCGCTGCATTGTTCTCAATCCCAATATATGCTGGTTGCTATTAGCACATAGAAACATAGGGAAAGGCACCAATTATACAGCGCATTGAAGATTGTTTCAGAACCGCGGACAGCGACCGTATCCAACGCGGGAGATGCACATTTGTTATAGAATAATATTCTATTTATTACTGTTGCTCAATTATTTGTACATAATACAACCATATACAATTTAAGTATCACATGTCTTAGAATGATGGACTGTGCCATCCCCGTGGCCTTTGCAATGGATCAGACCACAGAGACAGGCGGGAATCAGACCGGTGTCTTGTGCACCATGAAAAAAAGAAATACATAGGGACTGCGCGACTAAAGAACTCTCGGTCGACCAACAGCCTATCGACCAAACAATTGACCGGTCAACTAAATGGGGTCAGCCCTAATGTTGTTACATGGTGAGAAAGAGTTATAGTCTAGCAGCTGGCTGACATAAAACTCTTCCTGACTGCAGTCTGGAAAGGAACTCCCTAAAAACCGGAAGTGACTTTTCGTTGCAGGTTAGGAGAGCATTTTCACTAACACTAAACCTTTTCCTAACATTGACCTAATTCTCCTAACCTGCTGCATAAGTTCTCCTAACCTGCTACGAAAAAGTAACTTATGGTCATAGTTGTATCGAAGTGGTGTGTTCATAGGGAATCTCGTCTGGAAAAGCTCCTTGATGTTGTAGGCATGATGCGTTGATTTACTGATTAAGGGTATTTGTTTAAGCTGCCCTCTGTTGAACCGGGTCGCTGAGGGAGGCGCGCCTTGCTCGTATGTTGTCAACAAGGCAGCATGATGCGTCGTTAAGAAACATACATCTTATTTCCATACAAATAATGTTCACATTTTCGACCTATTTTTCATTGGTAAGGCAGGTAAAGCATTTTTATCAAAAGCAATGGCTTTTGCATGTGAAAACACATAATTATTCTCATTACTCCACGTGCTTAACCTATGTAATTTTTTATTTGAGCCGACTTCGCCGTTGGCTAGAATGGGGGGCGGCTCACGCCCAGGAGGCAGCCCGGTTCAAGCCGATTGCAGTCAACACTAACCCGGGTCACCCATGGCATGCCCGTGGCATTAATCAAATTCCCTCATTGGTTCTCTGTGTCTTTCTCACTAAAACACCCATGGACAGCCACACACAGCCCTGAGCGCCAACCCCTTCCAATAAAACGGTTGAATTTTCTAGTCCAAACAATGAGAGGTTAATTCAAATAAATAAAAAATGTCACATAGGTGCAGTGAAATGTGTTGTTTTCAACCCCCCAGAGAAAATCCCCCAGGTCTCAACCCCCCAGGGGGGAAATAAAAGTTTGAGAGAACCAATCAAAGCTCAAGACAATTTTTGCGCAAATATGGCACCGACAAACGGACTCCTGTGAACAGACCAGTGTCACGCCTCTCCCTCACTGTTTACCACTTGAGTCTCGTCAGCGAGGGAAAAAAAAGTAAGGCCATACGAATGTGAAAATGTGCACGATCATAGCAAAAATAATGTACTCAAGCTTCCAATAAAGAGATGCACAACTTCCTCTCGGATTATGGCTGAACAATCTCTTTTAGCCTCCCCAAGATGCTAAAATCTCTTGATTAGGTCGCTAGGTGTCGAAATAAAGATGCTATAGTATTTTTTAAAGTGTGTACTTATTTTTATTTTTTCACTCGCTCGCCTCACTTTTCAATAAAATTTAATGAAATGTGTATGGCCTAGCGAAACAAAGGTCTGATTGACCAAGTAGAAAGTAATAATCATGTTGACATGCCCACTAGATGGTGCCTGATGCCTGTGTACCTTTGTAACATTAGAAAAGGGTCCTTCATCCTCCAAATCAGTCCATACAACTTGGTTTTGTGTGGGGAGTAGATTTTGGTCAATTCATAATCATGATACCCCTGTGTTTCCACAGTCACTGGCTAATATAGATGATGTGGTCAACAAGATCCGTCTGAAGATTCGGTGAGTGACCTCACATTAATGTTTACAATTTTTTATTTGTTTGACAGAATATTATTGATTGAGTGTGTGTGTGTGTGTGTGTTTCAGTCGTCTGGATGACAACATCAGGACGGTGGTGAGAGGCCAGACCAACGTGGGCCAGGATGGCAGACAGGTGAGTGAGCGGACAGTCTGGGATTACTCTTCAGTGTGTGGCTACCTGTTGTTCTTGGATCATGCCCCTGACTGACTGTGTGCAGGTGTCACACACACACACACACACACACACTTCATCCCTCCAACAGACTGGTGAACTGAGATGATGTTTTGCAAACTTTTCCCCAAGGATTACTCCTCCTAACCCAGACAAATATGTTGGTGCTTCTTTTTCTGTTTCTCTGTCCTCACTAACGCCATGGAAAAGGACAGGATGAGTCAGAACCATCCCGTTCCCTACTGTTAGAACTACTGCTGTCCTACATGGAAAGGTTCCCCTCCATTATTCAGGGATTACATTTGGACCTGTGTTTTGGTGTCCCGCCGTTTCTCATCTGAGAACGTCGGAAAAACCATTGATTTAACGCAGACCCTCGCTCTGTCAGGGAACTGTGATTTTGTGGGAAATGTGACACCTGATGGGGGAGCTGTTTCAGTGTGTGTGTGTGTTGTTGCGTGTTTCTGGGATGGTGGTCCGGTCCTGCTCTGTTACCACTGGATTATTGGAAATGTTCTGGACAGAATCCACAAACCCATGGGGTTGGTAGGCACGGCAAGCATGGCACTGTACTGTTGGGTTTCTGGTCTGTTGGTCTCGTAATCCTTTCTGCAGATGGAAAGATGGAGAGGTGTTCATTACAGCCAGAGATGGAGAGAGGGAGCAAGAACAGGAGAGGAGAAAAGGACTTAAAAAGTCGTTGGGTTGGGTGCACTAGTTTGGCAGAGCTTGTCCCAAGGTGCCAAATCCACCTACTTAATTGAGCGCTCCTAATGACAAAGGTTGAGAAAAGTTGAGAAAGGATGGAGGGAAGAACAAAGAATGGAGGTGGAGAAGGGCTGGAAAGATTTCCCTTGTATTTAGCAGAGGTGGGACAAAGTCATTGTTATGCAAGTCACAAGTAAGTCTCAAGTCTTTGCCCTCGAGTCCCGAGTCAAGTCGAGTCAAAGATGAGGCAAGTCCCAAGTCGAGTCAAAAGTCAAAGCCATCAAGTCTCAAGTCGAGTCCAAAGTCCTACATTTTAGTTTCGAGTCATTTCAAGTCCTCTTAGCAAGTCTTTGCAAGTCATTACAAGTCCTCGTAGCAAGTCTTCTCGAGTCATAAGGCGCAAGTCCAAGTCAAGTCACGAGTCATTGATGTTAAAGTCCAAGTCGAGTTGCAAGTCTTTGTACATTTTGTCGAGTCGAGTCTGAAGTCATCAAATTCATGACTCGAGTCTGACTCGAGTCCAAGTCACATGACTCGAGTCCACACCTCTGGTATTTAGTCTGTAGGGGCAGCAGACTGGCAGCGATCAGCAGAGCAGGATGGAGATGTCTGCTTTAGATGCCCAGGCCCAGTCCCCAGGGAAGGGGTAGATGGAATCAGAATGCCAGGGATATTTGGAGCAGGTGGGAGAATTTGGGTGTATGTGGGTGTGGGTGCATATGAGAGTCACGCACACACACACAGGAAATTCATTCCATTCAGTCTTCTCTTGTCTAAGCAGTTCTGACTGGTTTGTTGTCGTTGCCAGCTCTTTTACTAAGCAGCTGTCAAAAGCAGCTACAAGTGTTTTGTCTGGCCAGCCCATCGTCATGGTAACAGAAGGCCAAACATGTCTCACTGGTTCACTGCAGTTTAAACTGCCCAAATCCCATTTAAGTCAAATCTAGTTGCTTGCCTTTACAATCGCACAGTAAACAATTTATAAGTGATTAATAAGTCGCTCTCAGACATACTATTGTTCTCCTGATTATTGATTATGAAACTTTGCAGACAAAATAAAATGGAAACTATTTATTCCCTGAGGAAGTTGATTCATTGTTCTCAACAAGTTTATTGTTGGTGCATGGAGTCAGTATGGGACAGTGAGTGGCGGAGGCTCGGTGTTGGGGGGAGGGTGGGGCATTATGGGAGTGGGAGAGAGGCTTATTAAGAAACCAAACATTTGTTATCAATTACGCGTAGCCTAGCCATTCATGCCAGAAAATGTTAACAGCATTGAGCTTGCATAGCTCAGTCACCATAGCCATTATTCAGCTATGCACCGTACTTTTCCCATGCGCAGCTGGATGTCCCCTAATGGTCAGGTCAGCTGTGGGGCTTTATGGTCGTCAATGAGGCAGCGGGTGGGGATCCGGCCGGCCGGCATGAGGATGGGTTATGGTTATTGTGTGTGTGCTCGTGCCTGCGGATGTCGTGAGTGTGTGCATGTCTTACGTGTGTGTGTGTGTTTGTGTGTTTTGCAGATGTCTTACTGTAGCTCCTGGCATCTGGATGTACTTATTAGGAACACTGAGACGGAATGAGAACCTCCTTGAGAAGCAAACATAACATAAATATTTAATCTAAACTCAGGAAGGGTAGTTTACTGCTTCAAGTTGGGTTCTCTGCTCTTTCATCTGCTGTGTATCCCTTCCTGTCTTTTCTTTGTCTCTCACTTTATTGTCCATTTACATGGAAATTCATTTTGTGACCTCAGCATACAAATACACAAACACAACAACAATATATTATATGCAGTACGGAAAACTCTCGGTCACTCTCTTCCGCTGTCATTCATCTCTCTCTTTCTTTCCCTCTCTCATTCTCTGATGTTCATTTCTGTTGATGTGTTGCTGTTGCCTTTTCCCCAAAACAATATGAACATATCCTTTAACACTGAGATAATGTGATGGTTACCATGTAATTTGGACACACGAGTGACCCACCCAACCACAGAAATAGAATGACTAGAGTGGACATGCCCATACAAATCAATGCTCGTTCTATTTCTATGGACCAAGCATCCAGCTCTTTATACTGGATTCTCAATGGCTTTGCCTTCTCCTGTAATATACCTGAACATATTTCTATCCCTGTTATTATGGAGTACGTTGTGCAGAGAATAGGCTACTTATTGTAGCCTCGCCTGTTTGCTTTATAAACAAATGTGTGTGTTCTGTCTGATAAGAGCTTGGTACATATGAAGAATGCCTTGTATACTGTTTATTGAATGTTAAAAAGGTCTTCATTTACTATGTACGACCTAGGGTAAACTACAGGGTCTATGGATAGGAGGAATGCGTGACTTGTCATTGTGGGGGACATCCACATCTCTTCATATCTGTCAGTGGAAGAAACTCCTCTCTAACCGCCCCCTGCCTTCCCCTCCTCAAAAAATCTCCAAATAGAGTCCACTTGTGTGGCAGGCAGTGCTCTATTTCTGCAGGGTTGAAATGTGGCCTCTCCCCTGTCTGGGACTGGGTTGGAACAGGGGATGGATGGGGGCGTAGTAGAGATAGCGATCTCAGCCCGGCAGACGTGTGCTGGGCTGTGGTCTACCCACTCCCTTGCTCAGACACTTGGGCGATAAGGCTAAACACAGGAAATGAACGTTAGGAGGAGAGAGGCCAGGAAAGCTGGCTCACTGAGTGGCTTCTCAGTCCAACTCTTTATCAGGGTCTTCAGACTATGGGCTCTACTCAGCGTGTGTGTAGGTTGTGTGTGTGTGTTTTTGGTATTGGTTGTTTGGGCCTCAGGCTGTTATGGAATTAGTATTCTGGTGGGTTCTTAAGGTGGTTAGATGTCGTTCGTCTCTAGGGGCCTGTTTGAATCAAAATATCATCCTTCCTCCCTGAGGTAATCACAGATCTGAGAGAGTTGGGTTGGTGAAAGCAGTTATGGTTGAGACCTTGCTTTCACTTATTCAATCAGGTATAGATCAGTCAATGGTAAGCTCAAGGAAGTGAGGCGGAAAGGAGACATTTTGTAAAGTATTCAAAGTATGTTGATGGTCTTGGCCATGACCAACCAAGGTTCTCAGCTTCCTGACTTTCCTTGCTTTTTCCTGGTACAGATAGTAACCATGTAGTTTATCAGAGCCTGCCCTGCGTGCCTGCTGGTTTACCTGAGGGGTCTACCAGTGTGAATGTGTCCACACCCAGGGAGTCTGGCTCTGTGACCCTGTCATCATGCTAGGCCGCTAAACAGAATAGATGCTGCTTCCTGCAGAGACTAAAAGGAATCCACTGCTGTCAACAACACCGATTGTGTGTGAGAGTGTATGAGTAAGAGAGAGAATGTGTGTGTTTGCCTCGTCCGTCCACTTTTGAAGAGCCTTGTAAAAGTGGTACATTCCTTAGGCAGCTGGTGCCGGCTGTTAGGATTCCATCTTTGTGAGAAGGAGAGGAGAGCCCCACACACACACACACACACACCACGCTGGGCCAGTGTTAGGCTAGCTACCCCCAATTACCCTGGCGTCAGATGGCAGTGCCAAAGCCCAGCTCAGACCATCAAAGCCCAGCTGCGTGGCCTAAAAGGGAAACATTAGATAGTAATTAGTTTACTTCTCAGTGAAAAAAGCACCACTCTGTTGAGATACTGTACATATTTTGACCAGAGTTGCATTTTATTTGACACCCCTCTCTGAGCGATGTGATAACGCATGTCATGAGCAGGTCCTCTATTCCACTAGCCAGTCAGTCTATAACATGGGTTGTTGGGGTTCAAATACATGGCTATGGGGTTGGGAATGGGTAGTAGGATATCTCTCTCTGTGTGCAGCTGCTGGCAGGAGGGAGAGACCGCTCTTCTTACCGACTGGAATGTGAGAGCAAAGTGTGGGAGAGGTTTCTCATCCCCACGCCGTTCCTTCTGGTTTCTCATCCCCACGCCGTTCCTTCTGGTTTCTCATCCCCACGCCGTTCCTTCTGGTTTCTCATCCCCACGCCGTTCCTTCTGGTTTCTCATCCCCACGCCGTTCCTTCTGGTTTCTCATCCCCACGCCGTTCCTTCTGGTTTCTCATCCCCACGCCGTTCCTTCTGGTTTCTCATCCCCACGCCGTTCCTTCTGGTTTCTCATCCCCACGCCGTTCCTTCTGGTTTCTCATCCCCACGCCGTTCCTTCTGGTTTCTCATCCCCACGCAGTTCCTTCTGGTTTCTCATCCCCACGCTGTTCCTTCTGGTTTCTCATCCCCACGCCGTTCCTTCTGGTTTCTCATCCCCACGCCGTTCCTTCTGGTTTCTCATCCCCACGCCGTTCCTTCTGGTTTCTCATCCCCACGCCGTTCCTTCTGGTTTCTCATCCCCACGCCGTTCCTTCTGGTTTCTCATCCCCACGCCGTTCCTTCTGGTTTCTCATCCCCACGCCGTTCCTTCTGGTTTCTCATCACGCCATTTTGTTTGGTGTTCCATCCCCCTGCTGGGGCGCCTATAAATATGACCTGACGAGGAAGAGAGGAGAATAGCATGACTCCAGAATGTCCCTGGTGCTTCCTACTAAACAAGATATAGTGATGGGGTTGATTAGCCTGTAATCTTGAAACCCAGAGCCAAATTCTTACATGAACACTAGCCTCTGGCCTGCTGTAAGGAGAGACTAAATAGCCTGGTCCCAGATCTGTTTTGCTGTCTTGCCAACTCCTATGGCCCATTGTCACGCCAAACAAACAGATCCGGGACAAGGCTAAGGGGATGATAGAGAAATGTAAAATAATCCCTCTTGGCCTTAGTGCTAGATGTCAGCTACATCCCACTCAATGTCTAAATAGATGTCTACCAGAAAGTAAACTTGTTTAGAGAGTGCTGGTACTTAAATTACCTCTTTCAAACCTGTCTCTCTCTCTCCTTTCTTTCTTTATCTCTCTCCCTCCCAGGCACTGGAGGAGGCTCAGGTAGCCATCGGCCAGCTCTTCGGCAAAATCAAAGAGATTAAGGACAAGGCTGAGAAATCTGAGCAAATGGTGAGTAAACAAACAAAACACAGCCAGACTCCTCCACAGGAGCCATCTTGTCTACCCTGTCTAAAGCTTGAGGGTGCCCCTGTTTGTGTAGGTGTGTGTGTGTTGCTGTGTGTGTGTATGACTGAGGGTGCCCCCTGGAGACTCTGACATTCTGTAGAGACATACACTGTAGTGTTATAATAAGTGGAGGTAATGCTCCTGCTGTGTGTGGGTTGGTTCTTCCTCTCCTTGTGCGGACCTAAAATCCCCCAAATTCCCCATAAGGATAGTAAAAGAAGGAAGATTCTCCCCGTGGGGACATTTCACACGTCCCCATGAGGACAAAGGCTATTTTAAGCTTAGGGGTTAGGTTCAGGGTTAGGGTTACAATTAGGGTTAATGATTAGGCATTTGGGTTTAAGGTTAGGGTTATGGTAAGGGTTAGGGAAAATATGATTTTGAATGGAAATTAATTTTAGGTCCCCACAAGGATAGAAGAACATAACGTGTGTGTGTGGGGAGGGGGGGGGGGTCACAGGAAGGCCGCTGGGCTGGGTGGGTAAAGAGGAACAATGGAGAGGAACCCCTCCCGCAATGGGTATGTTGTAGGAATTATGTCTCAACTCAAACAGATGTCTTATTACTCTCTCTCTGCACCTTGTCTCTGTCTATCTCCTCTCCACTCCTCTACCTCTATCCCCTCCTCTTCCCCTCTATCGCTTCCCTATACACTTTTCTCCACCCACCCCTCCCTCCCTCCCCCCCCCCCTCTCGCTATCTCTCAGGTCAAGGAGATAACGCGGGACATCAAACAGCTGGACCATGCTAAGCGTCACCTGACCACCTCCATCACCACCCTCAACCACCTGCACATGCTGGCCGGGGGCGTGGACTCTCTAGAGTGGGTACTCACAGTGCCACCTATGGGCGTGGAGGGGAGGGCCAACTGTGGGCCGCGACCCATAGGTTGAAAAGCACTGATCTAGAAGTTACACAGGGATGAATCCTAAGTTAAATATTTGTGGGTGACTCTTGTAATACATGCATTGATGTCAATGGAAGATTTGTGTGAAAATGTAGCTCTGTATGTGCATCTCGAGTTAGGAGTTGGCAAATAGAAAGGAATACAAAAGATCATTGGAAACCATTGTGCACTGTTACTGCCTCAAGCCAAGGTGCTGGGTCTCTCTTAGTTTGGCACATATATCATTGACTAAATGTTGAAGTGGCTGCTTGTATGTGTAGGCACTAGCCAGAACTCCAAATTAGAACTGTCAGTGATGTGTTCTGTGTGTGTCCCAGGGCCATGACGAGGAAGAGGCAGTATGGAGAGGTGGCTAACCTGCTACAGGGGGTGGTCAACGTGCTGGAACACTTCCACAAATACATGGGCATCCCTCAGATCAGACAGCTCTCAGAGAGGTAACCATACATGCACGCACATGCACTCACACACGCATGTACGCACACACCCCCGCACATGCACACACACGCCATGCTCAACCACGGGCAACACATTCCCTTTCTTAACTGACCATAACACCGTACCAGTAATACTGTACGGAAACACTCAGTATTTCAAACAAACACAGCTCAAACTTGCAAACCAACCACTGCATGCATGCATCATACTGTATTTCCCAGTCAGTCAATTTTCCTGACATTATTGTATTCCTAACTCCAGTTTTTTTTTCTTGGTGCTCTCCCAAACTGTAGAGGCTGCAGCCAGCCCAGGCCAGGCCTGTAGAGCCCAGAGGTATTCTGTTGTGCTCATCAGAATCAGATCCTGTTTTATATTTACTGAGGAGAGGAGGCTGCGGGCTGCTGAAATACACAGGAAGGAAATGCACTGAATAGAACTCCTTTATGCATAAATTTTTTCCACTGAGGGCTTGGGCTGTGCTTTCCTCTGGCTGGGTGTGTTTGAGAGTGTCTTTGTTTGAGAGAGTGTCTTTGTGTGTGTGTGTGCCAGAGAGGAAAAGTGTGTTTGAGAGCGCGAGAGTGTTTCTTTGTGTGATCTTGTGTGTGTGATTGAAAGATTTGGCCTTTTTCCTCTCTTCTTTCTCCTCCACAGGAACAGTTCTGGGGTGTGTTAAGCACTAGTCCAGACCCCATACCAGGTCACTACAGAGTAAGGTCTGTGTTCAGCCCTCAACCCAGCTAGTCCCTATGTCCCTTTGGCCGGGGGAGCTAGCTGTGCTATCTGCTCTGTTTGCCTTCGAGTGGATGATAAAAACATGAATTTAGGAGAGTAAGGAAGTGTGTTTGTGTGTGGGAGGGAGGTGTCGTTTAATGTTTTTTTCTTCCATACACTTTATATTTATCCGGAGTTGTGTGTCTGTGTGTCCAATGCTCATCAAAACCACCCACACACTCTCTGACCACCACTGCTTTGTTATCTGGAAAGGGGTAAATACAGAACTGAGTCTTCAGAAGAAATTGGCAAACATATTGAGGGATGACCAGACAGAGGGACAGCTGTAGCGTGGGTCTGACTGATTGTCAGGGGCATTACATTTACGTTTTAGTCATTTAGCAGACGCTCTTATCCAGAGCGACTTACAGTTAGTGAGTGCATTCATTATTATTTTTTAATATATTTTTTTCATACTGGCCCCCAGTGGGAATCGAACCCACAACCCTGGCGTTGCAAACGCCATGCTCTACCAACTGAGCTACATCCCTGCCGGCCATTCCCTCCCCTACCCTGGACGACGCTGGGCCAATTGTGCGCCGTCGCATGGGTCTCCCGGTCGCGGCCGGCTACGACAGAGCCTGGATTCTAACCAGGATCTCTAGTGGCACAGCTAGCACTGCGATGCAGTGCCTTAGACCACTGCGCCACCACTGCCCGCCCTGTGGCATGGCATCCATCTTGTTTATTCTGGAAGGTTCTTCTTGTTGCTCTAGGATTGGACTCTAAATGCCACACCAGATTCACTCTTCATATTAGGCCAGTGGTTCTAGTTCTCACCATGGTTGTGTGTCCTCTCCTGTTAAGCCAGTGGTTCTGGTTCCCACCATGGAACTATGTGCTGTACTGTGTGACCCAATAAACACTTCTGGAATTTCTCTGACCCAATGAGTAAACAAAACCACTGGCCCAAGTCATGCCAGTTTTGCCACGGCCCGAAAGCTGTCAGTCACAACTTACCAGTGGGTCACTCCCAACCTAGCTACCATCTGGGAAACCGTTTCATTCTGAAAATATCTACAGTTATGCTACACCAGCTCTAAACCCAGCTCCAGCTTTCATGATGGCAATGTTTTCTCAATGTTTCTCCACGGTTTGTGTCATCCACAGGGTGAAAGCGGCCCAAAGCGAGCTGGGGACTCAGATCCTGGCAGACTTTGAAGAGGCCTTCCCCGCTCAGGGGTCAAAGGTGAAATATTTGTGTACTATGAATGCCTTGTGTGTTATATGTGCTTAATTAAACAATTGTATGTGTGACTATACATTATATCATGAATGTAATGTATATTATAATTGTATGTGTGTTAACCCAAGGTATTTTGTGTGTGTATTCTATATCCCCAGAGAGCAGGGGGACCCAGTAATGTTCTGAGGGATGCCTGTCTGGTGGCCAACGTCTTGGACCCCCGCATCAAACAGGAGATCATCAAGAAGTTCATCAGACAGCACCTCTCTGAGTACATGGTGCTGTTCCAGGAGAACCAAGATGTGAGTTTGTTTATTGTACTGCTAAGCATTAAAGTGGAACTGACAGCATTTTAGCAACATTAAATATGATTAAAATCTGTTCATATACACCCCCAGGAATATGATAAGATTCTGATAAGCGAGCACTTATCAGAACTGGTCATTTTCAAGTTTAAAAAAATTCATAGAATGTTTGAGAATTACGTATAGTAAGGCATTTGTCAAAATTCTATAGCAATATAGAGTGGGAAAGCGGCCTTGCTTTTGGACAATTAATAGACACTGCAGTAAATAACACCTAAAAAAAACATGGACTTGTGCAGGACTGGAGTCTATGCAGACCTGTGCCATAGCCAATCAGAGCTATAGTAGGCCTATATGCAAATAAGCTATTTGCTACACGTGCCTGCCATCATTCCCTTCGAACTGGATTGTGTGTTTACAGGCAGTAGCAACAGCGTAACTTTAGATCATTAGAACCCATTCACCTGAATGGATTTCTGCAAATGTGTAAATACTATGGGAGTCCTCTTACATTTGTGAACTTCAGTCCTATTCATCAAACAACCACGAAAAGGTAGGCTCTCTCTACCTTAGTTACCTATGCACATCAACAACTAATGCTAGCCTGAGCGAGATTAGCTCAAATCTAACGAGGGAACATTAGGTAAACCCTCTCAAACTTTTTAGCTTGTTGGCCATCAAAATTGCACTGATAAATGATGGTGAATACATTTTACATTTTCGTCATTTAGCAGACGCTCTTATCCAGAGCGACTTACAAATGGAATGGTACCCTAATCGTCGTGCTGCAGCTTGCCTGCCAATGCATGCTTTTCCCAACTGATTTTTTGACAACTGAATGGGAACTTGCCTGCCCGCCCATTTGATCAATGCCAAATACATTTGATTGACAACTAAGATATGCTAACTGTGGATAACAGTGGTTCAAGTTCAGCATAGCTAGCTAGCAAAGCGATTCACATTTCTTGCTAGCTAACCAAATGACACCTGTATCTATAGCTGTAGCCAACGAAAAACGAAATGAGGGGAAAAAGTCGATCACTGACTCACTCATCCAATGACATGACATCCTCCCTGCAGCTAGCTAGCTAACGTTAGGCTTTGTGTTTTTAGCTTGCTAAATAAATAGCTAGCTCCATAAATCGATACGCTAGACAGTGGCGTCAAACTCAATCAGTGCACAGGCCATATTTTAAAAAACAAATAATTCACGGGCCAGACATAGCCAATTTGTTTTTACAAAAAAACGTGCAACTGCAACCCAAATAGGCAATTCTTTTATTTGAAAAAAATACGGCCCTTTATAATGTCCAATTATGTACATAGGATGCTGTATATAGCGTTAACATAAAATTAAAACAAAAAGATACAATAAAAAAAAAATGGTCCAGCCTTTGCTGCTATGCTTGCAGATGTGCATAATATGCTGCGACCCTAATCAAAAAGTATTTAACTCCAATAATAACGTAGCTATAGGTTGTAACATTTAAACTTAAAAACGTGTTTACATTTTGTTTTGTACCGCATGGATCACCGGTGCGGTTGAATGCAGCATTGCTGTATGGTGCACTCAAAATGTATTGTAGTTGAGTAGCCAGCCTAGGCTACTGCTCAAATGTTGCTATAATAGGCCTGCATGTTTCTCCTTTGCGGGGTGTTTTGTTGCATGTTTAGTTTTGGTTATTCATTGTGAAGCTTTAAAAACCGAAGCCAGACTGCAACATTTTAGTTGCCTTGCTAGGACTGTGGCATGTGTTTGTACACTTACCCTCCGCTGAGTGCTGTAAACGCGACACACGAAAGCAGCGCAATTGACGTTGAATTCACTGATGCCAGCGCATCAGGCTTTAATCTCATGAAGTAGATGACTCAACTGTTGACTCATTTATACTCGCTTGTGTGTTTTATTCGGCCCGCGGGCCTTGTTTGACACGTGCGCTAGCCTATTAGCCACTTTATGACTGACATGTTATCATTGCCCTTGCTAGTTTGATTTTATTGACATTCCTAGCCTTAGTTACAGTCTTCCGTTTTTGTTCTAAATATTGAGTCATTGAAACTAAAACTGTGCGTCCCGAATGGGTGCGATGAAATGTATTGGTGAATTATATTAATCATGCATTGAACTGCATGTAAGTTCCAGACAGACTGATAAGCACTAAATGCTCCAGTGATCCAATACTAGGGTCCGACGCGAGACAGACAAGCCCCAGAACAGTGCCTTGTTTCTGGGGAGACCCCACATCTGAGGAGGGGTGGAAGGAGGGAGGGAGAGGAAAGATTCTGCCAACAATGCCTTACTCTACGTCACGGAATTTTGAGTAAAATATAACCTCTTTTTAAAACCTCTTATAAAGTTGGTTTTGAAGCATAAACTGGGAATTTGATATTTTTTTTTACTGATATTATGATTTCACATCTGCAAAGTAGTTAAAACGCTGTCAGTTCCACTTTAAACTAAGGCGGCCATTTTGGGTCCATTTACACGAGGGATTTTGGGTAGGTACAAATGGGGATAAGCGACCATAAAAAAATACTGTAGTTTATGGTCCAAACATTTATTTTATATCCCAGTATTTCTTCCTTTGTAGATCATGTGAATCATAGTTGAGATGTACATTGACTGATCTTTAATAATGCTAGTGTTGTGACAGTGAGTCTGTGGACCTTCCACCTGAAAGTGTGTTTGTCCACTGACCTGACTCAGGTAGCTTGGCTGGATAAGATTGACCGGCGCTATGCCTGGATTAAGCGTCAGCTGGTGGACTATGAGGAGAAGTACGGACGCATGTTCCCTGAAGAGTGGTGTATGACCGAACGCATCACTGTGGAGTTCTGCCACATCACCAGGTACCCACACACACACACGTTGCTGTAGAATTCTGCCACATCACCACACACACCCTGTGCTGGAAACTGTTGAGACAGCCAGTGCCTCACTGTCAACACATTCTATCAACTGTTGTAATAGTTGTGCTCCTCTATCATCCCAACACTATTCAGTAGACAGTTGATTTAGTGTTCGTTAGCAGGTCAGTGCTCATGTAGGCTATCACAATAATTGATGCCGCAATTTGACGTGTTGACGACCCTATGTGTCTGTGTCTGTCTGTTTTTCTGTGTCGTGTGTGTCATCCAGGACGGAGCTGGCCAAAGTGATGCGGACGCGGGCCAAAGAGATTGAGGTCAAGCTGCTTCTGTTTGCCATTCAGAGGACCACCAACTTCGAGGGGCTGCTCGCCAAGCGCTTCTCTGGGTGCACCCTCACCGACGGGCCCGGGGTTAGATACACATATATAATAAACACACACACACACACACACACCATCATTGGGCCATTGTTGCTGACTGTAGTGTTGTTTTCAGGTGAAGAAGCCTGAGACACCACTGGAGTCCACCAACCCTTTCTTGGAGGACGAGGTTGGAGAGGATGGGTCAGAGATGGACGAGGGTCTGGATAGGGTAAGACATGTTTGAGATGACCCTTTGACCCTGTCTGAACTTCGACCTTGATAGGCATAGGCTGACCTTCTGAGGTCATTTCCTGTGTCATGGTGACTCATGATGGGAATATCTCTAGGAGGATCTCGATAGGAGCTTTTAAGGGCTCACTTTGGAGAAAAAAAATACTCATCCCCAAAGAGAAAAATCATGAGTAGTAATTACATCCTACATTGTTGACCATTTTCTGCTCCCCAGCTCAAGAAGCCCAAGGCTCCTGACAACCCATTCCATGGCATCATTTCCAAGTGCTTCGAGCCTCACCTCTATGTCTACATCGAGTCTCAGGACAAGTGAGTGATGTGATGTAGTGTGTGTGTGAGTGGTGTAGTGTGTGTGAGTGGTGTAGTGTGTGTGTATGTGGTGTGAGCGTGTGCGTGCGTGTGATTGGAGATCTGGCACAGATTTGTGTGCCCAGAACTTTTCCTTTCTCCCTCATCAGCCCCCCCCCCCCCACCCCCTTACTCTTTCTCTCTTTCGTTCCCTCTCTTGTTTCTGTGTGTTTCTTTCTCTCTCTCTGCTGAGGCAGAAATGGTTCCTATTAGCTGCATGACCACAGACGCTGAGAAAGAGGGATTGAAAATGTATTCTGCAGCAGATTGTTCTTCTCCTTTTCTTCCTCCCTCTCTTTACTACTCCTCTCTCTCTCTCTTCCACTCTCTATTTCTCTCTCACTCTCTTTCCTCTCCCTCCCTCCCTCCTTCCCCCCCCCCCCCCCCCCCCCCCCCCCCCCCTCAGACGTGGGGTCTCCCCAGAAACAAGGCACTGTTCTGGGGCTTGTCTGTCTCGCGTCGGACCCTAGTATTGGATCACTGGAGCATTTAGTGCTTATCAGTCTGTCTGGAACTTACATGATCTGGCTATGGCCTCCTTTCACAACAGACATGGCCAGATGATTCTACATCAGGCATTTCCAAAGCAGCTCGTCTCAATGGAATACAACAGGAGAGATAATAGTGACCTAATTGTTCATACAAAGTGGATTTAGTTTTTTGTCCTTGGCTTCATTTCATAGTAACAGTGGGTGGGCAGGGGGTAAAGTACTAGACATTAACAGCCGTTTAGACATTGAAATTAAAGGACAGTGAAGACAGCCGCAATAGAGGGAGAATCTCCAACCCTGTCTGTCTGACTCTTCCATTGTATCATCACTGAACTGTGTGTGTGTGTGTGTGTGGGGGGCAGGTTGGCGTTTGTCATGAATCTTGCTCTGGAGGCAGCTCTGCAGAGTGGTCGCTAGCTGGCACAGCCACAAAGCCATACAATCTGATTTTAAACCTAACCCTAGCCACACTGCTAACCCTAATGCCAAACCTTAAATTAATTCATGAATCTTTATAATAAAGCCAATTTTGACTTTCCAGCTGGCCCATCTAGTGTAATCGCTCAGCTGCCTCCAGGGCAAGATTCATGGCAATAAAACGTCAACCTGCGTGTGTGTGTGCTGGTGTCTGGGGGTCATCACTGAGCTGTGTGTGTTACTATTCTCAGGAACCTGGGGGAGATGATTGACCGTTTCGTGTCAGACTTCCGGGCGCAGGGCCCCCCCAAGGCGGGCACGGAGGACGGTGGAGCGGTGCTGCCCAGCTGTGCTGACCTATTTGTCTACTATAAGAAGTGCATGGTGCAGTGCTCTCAGCTTAGCACAGGGGAACCTATGATCGCCCTCACCACCATCTTCCAGAAGTACCTCAGAGAGTATGCCTGGAAGATACTGTCTGGAAACCTGCCCAAGTAATTTACTACAGCCTAGCCTAATGATATGATGATCAGATTTATTTGTGATGATGTAGGTCTAGTAATTATTTAGTAAGCGCTTTTTATTCATGCTGCTCACAAACTGTGTTCTGGAAGGCCACTGTGTGCTCTGGTTTTCATTCAAACCATTTTCTGGATGGTTTCTGGCTTTGCTAGGAAAATATTCTGACACAGGTGGAACTATTACATTTACATTTACTACTCATCAAAGCCACCCACACACTCTCTGACCACCACTGCTTTGTTATCTGGAAAGGGGTAAATGGGAAATAAAGAACTGAGTCTTCAGAAGAAATTGGCAAACATATTGAGGGATGACCAGACAGAGGGACAGCTGTAGCGTGGGTCTGACTGATTGTCAGGGGCATTACATTTACATTTTAGTCATTTAGCAGACGCTCTTATCCAGAGCGACTTACAGTTACATGTGCATACATTATTATTATTTTTATTTTATTTTTTACATACCCCCCGTGGGAATCGAACCCACAACCCTGGCGTTGCAAACGCCATGCTCTACCAACTGAGCTACATCCCTATGACAACCAGTATAAACTGTGGCCTACTAGGAGCTGGACTGGGACAAATGCTTCTGTCAAAGCAAGATAAAAATTATTATGGATGATATATGCTGTCATCTGCTTCAATTCCCTTTTGATGAAGGAATTTGCCAAAGTTAGAGTTCGTTCATTCAGAAGAGTGATCCGTCATTCTCAGGGGTTTGTTTGATAGTTCAGTAGTGTTTAGTTGTCGCTGTGTTTGATTGTCTGGGTTTGCATGTCATGTGGTGCTGGAGGTGTGTTTACATCGAGGTGTGTTTACATCGAGGTGAGGCCTAATACTTCATGAGCAAAAACATATTTCGCTCACTGGCCACATTATAAGACCTCTTGTGTGGTGTGTGTGTATTGTTTTGTGGAGTTTTAAAGGTGACCCTTCTGGGGGTTGGAGCTGTGTTGTGGTTTACCCAGAATTCTCGGCTGTGGCGTTTATTAATGAGAGGGAGGTGGTTTAGCCACGTTGCCATGGTAACCCTGCCCCTCTGGCTATGTCTCAATTATCCAAACCTTGCTTTGAATTATAACCTATAACTAGAGACAGGAGTTTCTCCTTGTCAGTTCACACTAGGTCCCAGAGTTTTCCCTTCATGTGAGCAGACTTCTGTCCCTAATTCACGAGAAAAGGAAGCTAGTTAAAACTATTGAGACTCTTTCTCTCAATCTCTCTCTCTCGCTCTCTGTCTTTCAGGACTAGCAGTAATAGTGGAGGACTGACCATCAAGAGTCTGCTGCAGGAGAAGGAGGGTTCAGAGGCTGCGAAGTTCACTGTAGAGGAGCTGTGTCTCATCTGTAGCATCCTCAGTACTGCAGAGTACTGTCTGGCCACCACACAGCAGGTTAGAACACACACACACACACACACACACACACACACACACACACACTTAACGTTAAACCTATTCTGTGTCTGTGTGTGTGTCAGTTGGAGGAGAAGCTGAAGGAGAAGGTGGATAAGACCCTGGTGGAGAGAATCAACCTGACTGGAGAGATGGACACCTTCAGCAAGTACGCGCCAAATCCTAACCTTCACTATTAGGGGCAACTTCTGCCAACTCAAAATGAACAATAGTTTATGAGATAAAGTGGAATAATTGGATGTGAAGTCCATGAATGTAAACTCTCTGTGTCTATCAGTGTGATCTCCAACAGTATCCAGTTGCTTGTTCAGGACCTGGACACTGCCTGTGACCCTGCTCTCACTGCCATGAGCAAGGTGCGACACCCACTACATTCCTCTCCTCCTTACACTGTCATATTCTATTTTCACTTTCAACCATTCTCTCACTGTCTCTCTTGGTCTCTCTCCCTCTAGATGCCATGGCAGAGTGTAGAGCATGTAGGTGACCAGAGTCCATACGTGACGTCAGTCATCATGCACATCAAACAGAATGTCCCCATCATCAGAGATAACCTGGCCTCCACACGAAAATACTTCACCCAGTTCTGCATCAAGTTCACCAAGTGAGTTACTTCCCTCCTCACTGTTCGTCAATGTGTGTGAGGAAGACTTGGTACTCCCATTGACAAGACAATTGATTTCGAGATTTTAAAAGAAATTGTCAGTTTTCAGAAATGCTAAATTCTCTTGTTTTCAATGAATTGATATTCTATCTTGTCTTTTTTTCCCCCTCAGCTCTTTCATTCCTAAATTCATCAACCACTTGTTCAGGTGTAAGCCTATCAGCATGGTGGGGGCTGAACAGGTAAACATACTTACCCTTTTATTTCATTAGCCTTTACCTTAGTAGAATTACGCTTACGGTCTCAAAAACAATACAAATGTTTTGACAATCGTTTGTTTGCTGCCTGTAGCTGATAATTTAGCTAGTTTTTTTTGCTTTGTTCTTCAGCTCCTCCTGGACACCCACTCCCTGAAGACGGTGTTGTTGGATCTGCCCTCTATAGGGTCTCAGGTGGTCCGCAAGGCCCCAGCCAGCTACACCAAGATAGTCGTGAAGGGGATGACCCGCGCTGAGATGATCCTCAAGGTGAGCCCTGTGATTCTAAAGCGTAATTCAGAGTCCACAGACGCCGGCGTCCCATTGTGACATAGATACACGGCTCTAAGACCACCAGCCCGAATACGCGCCTCCCCAAAATTCCCAACCAACGCAGCTCCGCAGCTCCTCTATTCATTTGAATGTGTTGACAGCTGGAGAAGTTGCATAAGCCGCACTGAGAATTGGAAAAGTATGAAAGCCAACGGTCTAATATTCTAGAACACTGCTGCGTGTACGTGTACATGACTTTGATAGGTGCTTAACACAACCATGCAACAATGTTACACTACAACCATGCTACAATGTTTCTCTTCAACCATGCTACAACGTTTCTGTACAACCACGCAGCAAAGTTTCACGACAGCCCCACACACACAGCGTGTCGACCAGCTGGAGCCAAGAGAGGTGTGAATGGTTAGGGAATGCAGGCATCCACGCATATACTCATGCCAGCAAACACACAAACACACACACACACACTTTCGGGAATGCTCACATGCATCAGACACATCTATCCATGGCTTGTCTCTTTTACAGAGTAAACACAGTCTGTGATTGGTTGCCCTTGCCCCAGGGTTAGCCAATAAAATGCAGAAAGACAATGGCACGCACCTGTCTTCTCAGACAAACCCCACCCTGCCCTAGAGCCTATCCCCTCACCTTGCCCTAGTCCAGTTACCCAGCCCCCAAGGCTTGTGACCCGATCCCAAAGGACATTTCCCTCACCCTCTTGTCTCCCTCCCTCTCTGCACGCACACACACACACACACACACACACACACACACACACACACACACACACACACACACACACACACACACACACACTTAACTGCCTGCCTTAAAGGAATGCAGCCTTGATGTCTGTCTAAAAAGCTTAATGCACTGTTTTAATGGTCAGCCTGGGACCTGCTCTAATGGTCAGCCTGATCTGTCTTAATGGTCAGCCTGGGACCTGCTCTAATGGTCAGCCTGATCTGTCTTAATGGTCAGCCTGGGACCTGCTCTAATGGTCAGCCTGATCTGTCTTAATGGTCAACCTGGGACCTGCTCAAATAGTCAGGCTGATCTGTGTTAATGGTCAACCTGGGGTCTGCGCTAATGGTCAGGGCTGATCTGTCTTAATGGTCAACCTGGGCGAGACCTGCTCTAATGGTCAAGCTGATCTGTTTTATTGGTCAGCCTGGGACCTGCTCTAATCATGCTACATCAGCCATCAGAGCCATTAGGACCTAATCTAGTCTGAGCACAACCATTAGGACTACTGAAGATACAAGCATAGCCTCGTCTCCCTTTCTGTGTTTCTTGTCAAGGTTATATATCAAATGCTTTTGTACAAATCAACTTCTAGTTACCAGATATTCAGTATATGTGGCCCTTCTTTCCTGCTCCTATGATAAACATGCCAATCCACAAAGCAATAATTTGCCCACACATTTCTTCTATCAACCGTTACAGACAATGCTTTAAAATGTCTACCTGCCCGCCCATAGCGCTTTGAAACAACTTCAGACAGTCAAAACTGTTAAGTGGCTTCTCCTCAGTGTCGTCACCTCTGGAGTGTCGACACCCGGGACGTGTATGGATGATTCCACATGTGAAACACACAAGGCTGTTAGTCCATAGAGGAATACCTTGAATGTGTTTACATACAGTAATGGGCGGCAGACAAAGGGGAATGTGTTTCTGTGTGGAAGGCCTTGAACAGACATACAAGGTGTGTGGAGTTGTTCTCTTCAACCTGGTGAGCATTTCATCCCTGGACGTTGCGTGGTACCTAGGTGCCTCTCAGGGAATTGTTTCCATGTTGGGCCAGGCAGGGCCTACAGATGCTGAAAGTCCAGAGAAATTCATAGGCTGTGTCCCAAACGTTACCCTATTTCCTATGTAGTGCACTACTTTTGAACAGAGCCCTTATCAATCCAAACACATAGGTCAGTGTGGGGCCTCAGACCTGTACGGATGGACTGTTCCTGGTTGAATGTTTGTAAGATATCCATGGATGATCAAAGTAGGGCTGACCCCATTTAGTCGACTGGTCAATTGTTTGGTTGATAGGCTGTTGGTCGACCGAGATTTCATTAATCGAGCAGTGGTAATAAAATAAATCTATACATACAGTACCAGTCAAAAGTTTGGACACACCTACTCATTCAAGGGTTTTTCTTGATTTTTTAAACTATTTTCTACATTGTAGAATAATAGTGAAGCCATCAAAACTATTAAATAACACATGGAATCATGTAGTAACCAAAAAAGTGTTAAACAAATCAAAATATATTTTATATGAGATTCTTCAAATAGCCACCCTTTGCCTTGATGACAGCTTTGCACACTCTTGGCATTCTCTCAACCAGCTTCACCTGGAATGCTTTTCCAACAGTCTTGAAGGAGTTCCCACATATGCTAAGCACTTGTTGGCTGCTTTTCCTTCACTCTGCGGTCCAACTTATCCCAAACCATCTCAATTGGGTTGAGGTTGGGTGATTGTGGAGGCCAGGTCATTTGATGCAGCACTCAATCACTCTCCTTCTTGGTCAAATAGCCCTTACATAGCCTGGAGGTGTGTTTTGGTCATTGTCCTGTTGAAAAACAAATGATAGTCCCACTAAGTGAACCAGATGGGATGGCGTATCGCTGCAGAATGCTGTGGTAGCCATGCTGGTTAAGTGTGCCTTGAATTCTAAATAAATCAGACAGTGTCACTAGCAAAGCACCCCACACCATAACACCTCCTCCTCCATGCTTCAGAGTAGAGATCATCCGTTCATCTACTCTGTGTCTCACAAAGACACAGCGGTTTGTGACTCATCAGACCCAAGGACAGATTTCCACCAGTCTACTGTCCACTGCTCGTGTCTCTTGGCCCAAGCAAGTCTTTTCTCCTTATTGGTGTCCTTTAGTAGTGGTTTCTTTGCAGCAATTCGACCTTGAAGGCCTGATTCACACAGTCTCCTCTGAACAGTTGATGTTGAGATGTGTCTGTTACTTGAACTCTGTGAAGCATTTATTTGGGCTGCAATTTCTGAAGCTGGTAACTCCTAATGCACTTATCCTCTGCAGCAGAGGTAACTCTGGGTCTTCCATTCCTGTGGCGGTCCTCATGAGAGCCAGTTTCATCATAGCGCTTGATGGTTTTTGCGACTGCACTTGAAGAAACTTTCAAAGTTCTTGAAATGTTCCGTATTGACTGACCTTCATGTCTTAAAGTAATGATGGACTGTCGTTTCTCTTTGCTTATTTGAGCTGTTCTTGCCATAATATGGACTTGGTCTTTTACCAAATAGGGCTATCTTCTGTATACCACCCGTACCTTGTCACAACACAACTGATGGGCTCAAACGCATTAAATTAACTTTTAACAAGGCACATTATTCCAGGTGACTACTTCATGAAGCTGGTTGAGAGAATGCCAAGAGTGTGCAAAGCTGTCATCAAGGCAAAGGGTGGCTACTTTGAAGAATCTAAAATATATTTGGATTTGTTTAACACTTTTTTGGTTACTACATGATTCCATATGTGTTATTTCATAGTTTTGATGTCTTCTCTATTATTCTACAATGTAGAAAATAGTAAAAATAAAGAAAAACCCTGGAATGAGTAGGTGTGTCTAAACTTTTGACTGGTACTGTATATCATGGTGTACAAAGACACCTGTCTGAGTGGACTGATCCATTGTGGAGGCCATGGGGATGGCACAGTCCATCAGTCTAAGACATGTGCTACTGAAATTGTATATGGTTATATTACATAAGAACAATGGTGCAACACTAATAAAAATAATATTTTTTTATAACATGCGCTTTCTCCCGCATTGGATAGTGGTCGCTGTCCGCGGTTCTGAAACACATCAGTGCGCTGTTGAACTGGCACCTTTTCCTAGACCATGTTGCTATGTGCATAATAGCAAAGTTAACCAGCATATTGGTGTTGAGAACAATGCGGCGGAGGCAGCCCTTGCCTTATTGTCTAAGAAAAGTGAGGAGAGAGGAAACCCCAACTTAATTAAGTCTATAATCAATAGCCTAACTGTTAAATGTGCCTGGCTTTATAAATCATCAATATATCCACAGAAATAAGACATCCTGCTTCTGTTGCCTGTTTGAGTGTTTGTTTAATAGCCTACTGATTCCGTGAGCACCAAGCCTCACGCAACGACATGTCAAGTAAACAATTTCACAAATTCAGCTATTTTTTTATATTTGCTTTGCTGTAATAAAGGCTTTACACTTTTTTTCCCCGTTAGAACAACCTTCTGGTATTATTTATAATTTATTTAGTGTTGTTTACTCTGTTCCAAATTGTCCGAAAAATGATATTTATAATAACGCTCCTTTTTCTTAATCTTCTTTTATTGTTAATATTGCTATTATTATTATGATCATAAGTAATGTCATTATCATTAGTAGGATTAGTATAGCAGCCTTGTATAACCACCATTGAGCTGTAGGCCTAAGAGCGCATCCTGTTTACTCATAATACCGTAACTTACTTAGGCCTCTATTTCAATACTTACAGTTGAAGTTGGAAGTTTACATACACCTTAGCCAAATACATTTAAACTCAGTTTTTCACAATTCCTGACATTTAATCCTAGTAAAAATGCCCTGTCTTAGGTCAGTTAGGATCACCACTTTATTTTAAGAATGTGAAATGTCAGAATAATAGTAGAGAGTGATTTATTTCAGCTTTTATTTCTTTCATCAAATTCCCAGTGGGTCAGAAGTTTACATACACTCAATTAGTATTTGGTAGCATTGGCTTTTAAATTGTTGAACTTGGGTCAAACGTTTCGGGTAGCCTTCCACAAGCTTCCCACAATAAGTTGGGTGAATTTTGGCCCATTCCTCCTGACAGAGCTGGTTCAACTGAGTCAGGTTTGTAGGCCTCCTTGCTCGCACAAGCTTTTTCAGTTCTGCCCACACATTTTCTATAGGATTGAGGTCAGGGCTTTGTGATGGCCACTCCAATACCTTGACTTTGTTGTCCTTAAGCCATTTTGCCCCAACTTTGGAAGTATGGTTGGGGTCATTGTCCATTTGGAAGACCCATTTGCAACCAAGCTTTAACTTTCTGACTGATGTCTTGAGATGTTGCTTCAATATATCCACATAATTTTCCTTCCTCATGATGCCATCTATTTTGTGAAGTGCACCAGTCCCTCCTGCAGCAAAGCACCCCCACAGCATGATGCTGCCACCCCCGTGCTTCACGGTTGGGATGATGTTCTTCGGCTTGCAAGCAACCCCCTTTTTCCTCCAAACATAACGATGGTCATTATGGCCGTTCTATTTTTGTTTCATCAGACCAGAGGACATTTCTCCAAAAAGTACGATCTTGTCCCCATGTGCAATTGCAAACCGTAGTCTGGCTTTTTTATGGCGCTTTTGGAGCAGTGGCTTCTTCCTTGCTGAGCGGCCTTTCAGGTTATGTCGATATAGGACTCGTTTTTACTATGGATATAGATCATTTTGTACCTGTTTCCTTCAGCATCTTCACAAGGTCCTTTGCTGTTGTTCTGGGATTGATTTGCACTTTTCGCACCAAAGTACGTTCATCTCTAGGAGACAGAACGCGTCTCCTTCCTGAGCGGGATGCCGGCTGCGTGGTCCCATGGTGTTTATTCTTGCGTACTATTGTTTGTACAGATGAACGTGGTACCTTCAGGCGTTTGGAAATTGCTCCCAAGGATGAACCAGACTTGTGGAGGTCTTGGCTGATTTCTTTTGATTTTCCCATGATGTCAAGCAAAGAGGCACTGAGTTTGAAGGTAGGCGTTGAAATACATCCACAGGTACACCTCCAATTGACTCAAATGATGTAAATTAGCCTATCAGAAGCTTCTAAAGCCATGACATCATTTTCTGGAATTTTCCAAGCTGTTTAAAGGCACAGTCAACTTAGTGTATGTAAACTTCAGACCCACTGGAATTGTGATACAGTGAATTATAAGTGAAATAATCTGTCTGTAAACAATTGTTGGAAAAATTACTTGTGTCATGCACAAAGTAGATGTCCTAACTGACTTGCCAAAACTATAGTTTGTTAACAAGAAATTTGTGGAGTGGTTGAAAAACAAGTTTTAATGACTCCAACCTAACTGTATGTAAACTTCCGACTTCAACTGTGTATAGGCTTACTGTATCAATCATTAATTAGTTCATGTCATCACACAGCATATGAGTCATTCATGATTTGAAATGCAATCAAGCATTTTAGTTTAAAAATAAAATAAAGCAGCCTTGAATAATTATCTTAAACAATAAATAAACCGTTCCATTTTGGAAATTGCATTCACGAATGAATGTGACTGTTTTTAGTCTTTGCTGTAATAAAAGCTTACAACAGACTTTCTGGTACAGTTATAATTTATTTAGTGTTGTTTACATTGTTCCAAACCGTCAGACAAATTATATTGTAGTCTATACAGCACCTGTTTGACACATAATGTGAATGCAGCGCTTTTTGCTTACCTTCTTTTTGTTGATCTCCAGTATTTTCCACAACAAGTCAAAATGTATTCTACACATCTGACTTTACCTTTTACCTCCTGAGCAACCAGTAAACATTCCCCTGTTTCGAGTTTGTCACATCCTCTGCATCCATTTTGCTGTTACGTGTTCAGAGTTTGTTATAACCAATTTATTGATGTGATATGCTATTGTTCAGGCCCTATTGTGCCGTATTCGGACTGGATTAGTTTTACTGGGGGAGGTCGGTTAATGTAATTATGTTCACAAGCACAAAACACCACATCTGTAATTTTAGTCCCGTTCGAATCTGCCATGTCAGTAATTTTTACATGGCAGGAGAGTAACAATTCCAGGCAGAATAACCTACTGTTTTTTTGGCGAACTCCAAGGTCCACTGATAATACTAGTCCAGTGCGAATCGACATCCCTGTTTATTGAGAGAAATGTGTTGAGTTTGACGGGTTGCTTGCAGTTTGTGAAAACAATAACTGATTCGATAAATTGAAGTAAGTGCTGCGCATAAGCTATGTATGAATGGCCTACATCTATCAACTTTCACAGTGAATTATTTTGTTTAAATATTTTGTGTGTATTAATTGAATATTGCCAAATGCATCAGTAAAACATATTGAGCCTATTTAATGCAACCCTTGCTGTTAATAGATCGCAAAGCAGCATTCAACTGACCGAAATGTTTGGAAATGATAAGTTCACTTTGGCATCCATAGCCGTAAAACGCATCTCAAGTGCAATTGCACTGTTTAGCTTACATCTGAAGGTTGGGGGGCATTTGGAACGTACTGCCGATCGCTAAAATATCGTAACGATGATGATCACACTTCCTCAATTCAAATATTATGGCGACACTATACTAAAGATGGCTTGGTATGGTTTAGAAATGTGGGTTATCAGTGTGGCCCTGTCACCTGGACATGTTGAAATAATGTATCTTCACGCGTAGAATAAAAACCTCAAGGCTTCCGTCATAACTGTCAATTTATATTTAAAAAAAAAAGAATTGCAGGGGGCAGTTTGGGGGAAAAAATAATTCTGGCTGAATCGTCCTCTGGAATAGCAGACATTCTGGAGTAATAATTACATAACCAACGTTCTCTAGTAGTACTAGTCCCGTGCGAAAAGGTCTTTGGTCACATGCATGCGATGCATACATGTGTTACGTAAAGAGAGCAAGGGTTGAGGGAATAGGGAATGTTTTTCCTAAACAAATTAGGGATTTCGGTAACACTATTTTTCAGTCAGAAATGGCTGTAATTATGTTGCAGCTTCAGCAAGACGGGCAGCGCGATAAACACTTTGATGTTATGTAGTGGTCACTGCAGCAGGGAGGAGAGAGAGACAACGGGTGCTAGTCACACAGTCACTCGCTGTCTTTAAAAACATTTTTTACACAGTCTGAGCCTGGCCCGGCACAATCAAATCAGTTGCTAGTTGGACTCCCTCTAGTCATTTGTGTGTCTTTTAATTATTTAATCAAAGAGTGTGCTTAAAGCATCAGACAAGCTCAGTGAATATAGTTGATTTGATTAAAACACATAGGATGTGTCAATATATGGAAAAATACACGTTTAACAATGTCTACCAATCGGTCAAAAGAACAGATGACTCTTGGTCAACCAAGATTTTTTTTGTCGGGGACAGCCCTAGATCAAAGTAAAGGTTATGGTGATAATGACTATGTAATAATGTAGGTTAGGCTGTCTGAGTATAAATAGTCTCCAAGTGTAGACCTGTTCTGGTGAGTCTGTCTGTAGCTGGTTTCTGTCTCAGGCAGCCCTCCTTGGCCTGTGAGACGTGGCTGTTTTCCACGCTCTCCAGCCCTCTATCCACCCACCCCACCCCACCCCGGCCCTCTCCCCCACCACCAGAGCGCTCTTCTGGGGAGGGAGTGGAAAACACCCCTCCACCCCACCTCCTTTTAGCCTGGATTCTCTCTCTCTCTCTCTCGTTTTTTACGAGCTAACTACAACACAGTTCCTCCATGCTTTCCCTGGGCCTCCCTCCAGGACAGTTGCTAAATAAATCACTCAGACCAGAGGGGAAGGAACCTCAAGAATTCCAGACAATCCACAGCGTTGCATGTCCCGTCTCTCCTCTCTGTTTCTCCCTCTCTGGTTTCACTCTCTTATATGTATTCTGGCCCACACCCCTTAGGCACAGAGAGAGGACAGGAGGGGTTGGATGTTGGTGTGTGGGTGAGGGAGGGAGAAATGTTTTGGGTGGAGGAAAGGAGCGTTGGAGGGGGTGCAATTCCCGATTTCTATTTATTATAATTTTTTTCTGTGGAACCTGTCAACCATGTTTGTCTGCCCGCTCTGTAGAAGGCAACTACGATCAGTCTCAATGCTATCTGATCCAGCTTTTCCTCTCTCCCTCATTTCTCTCCCTCTTTCTTGAAAGCAAAAAATATATCCATCCTATTTCACCTTTTTTTTCTTGCTCGTTCTTGACTACTCCCCATTGCGATTTGCACAAACTCTCAATCTCTCATTATAGCCCCAAATAATGACCGGTGAGGCTAATTCCCATCCACCCATGCGTGGAGTAATTGGTGTGTAAAAAGAAGAGGGGTCGGGTCTCCTAAATATAGCCTTTCAGTAATATAGCCCAACAGTGCAGTCAGTAGGTGTGTCTGAAATGCCACCCTATTCCCTATAAAGTGCACTACATTTGACCAAAGCCCATAGGGCTCTTGTCAAATGTAGTGCACTATATAGGGAATAGAATGCCATTTTGGATGCAGTCAGTGTAAAGTTGGGGCTTTGTTTGCACCTTTAACCACTTACCCATGTCTGGTCTGATAGTCGACTGACTCAGGGGCCTGTTTGTTCTTACGGGCTGCGCACACACACACACACACACACACACACACACACACACACACACACACACACACACACTTACCATGCACATGCACACACACAGAGTTTATGAATCAGTTTATGAGTCTGCTCGGACTTGGTCGTCCCATCATGGCTCTTGGGAACAGGGGGGATATAAAAACCCCACGCTGCACTTCAGTATTGAGATGTGAATGTATAAGCAACACTGATGTCTCTATCCCCCCTCTACAGGTGGTAATGGCCCCCCATGAACCCTCCGTGGTGTTTGTGGATAACTACATCAAGCTCCTCGCTGACGGGAACCCAGAGACCTTCCAGAAAACTCTGGATATGAAGGTAAGGGCCACTTCGATTGGGTCCACTTGTTTTGTCTCTCTCAATGATGTCACCTGTTTTCAACGGTTATCTCCTACTTCCTCTGTTGTTGTCTTGTTCTCTCTTGTTGTTTCCTCTTGCAATAACTGATGTTCTCTTGGTGTGTGTGTGTGTGTGTGTGTGTGTGTAGGGGTTGAAGCGCAGTGAGCAGAGCAGCATGTTGGAGCTCTTCAGACAGAGGTTACCCACTCCACCCTCAGGGGCCGACGGAGGCCCCTCCCTCTCCTTCAGCACCCCCACCCCCGAGCAGGAGAACTCGCGCATACGCAGACTGGAGAAGCTCATCAAGAAGAGACTCTGAGCGTACACACACACACACACACACTTGTACTCACACACATCACCATAACACACACAAATTATTCCAGTAATTTATCTCAAATACTTTTTCCTGCTCTGTTTAATCATTACAGAGAATTGCAGGCAGAGTAAAGACATGATTGTCTCATTTTTGGTAGGAGCATTAATATGAACCTCATGATTTCAAAGTCAACTGTCTGATTATGAAGAAATGTCCTCAGCTGCAGTAAGCTGTTGGCATGTACGACTCATTTACTGCTGTATTTCATTTCTGCTTCTCTTTTTATGACACTAAATACCCAAGCTTTGTAAATGTCGTTAAATGTAGACTACTATATCATACACACTCAATGCATTTTAGCAAAATGTGTTTGCACTTAAAAAGACAAAATCAAGAGCTACTAATTAAAAACGGCTTTAGGAGCAATTTGCTGCCGCTTTGGCACCTATCCTCCCAGACTGAGAACAAGAAACTTTAATGTAATTGAAGCTAACGTTTTCAGAATGTTCTCCTGTTTTCAGAATGTTCTCCTAGTGTTTTCAGAATGTTATTGTTCTCCAGTCCGGTGTCTTTTAGTGTATTTCTCTTGGTTCCCTGTTCAAGGAGAGGATGCAGTTAGTCAGGAGTTTGGGTATATTTCCAGTGTCCCTTCACAACGGGAACACCCTCGGGTGGATGGACCGCATCCCACCATGCATTGCTGTTTCCAGGTTCAGTGGTTAAGCCCCCAGGTTTGGGACAGAGAGGATCTTGGGATTTCCTGTCTCCTCAATTAGACATGAGACAGTCTCTGTGCTTTTTGAAATTCCCCCAAGGTTGGCCTGGAAATGAGAACCAGTCCAAGCCTTTTAACTCTGACCCTCCACCAGGAAGTGTGTGTGTGTGTGTTCGCGAGAGATGTTAAGCGTGTTCATTTATTTAACCTCTATTGCCCTATTTAATTACCTGCTGTAGAGCCCTCTGAGCATTTTATGTCAGTCTGAATAGATTGTAGATTTGATGACAGTGAGGGAGAGTCACAGTACTTTATAACAAAGGAACTCATGTGTTCACTGTTGTATAAGGATATATTGTACAAAATTATATTGTCTAAACCTTTTTTCTTTCCTGTTCTGTTATTCCAGGCCCTTGTGTTTGACACTGACAGTCCTAGATTACCTGTCAATCATAATGACAACTTGCCAGAAGATACTGACCCTACCGTTATGCTTGTTTACACTGAGCTGCACTGGGGTTGGAATGCAATGATGGTTACATTAAGACACCATGGAGCTGGCGCAAGATATGGGTCGGAAAACGTACCTCAATGCAGGGATGGGATATGCCACTGTACTCCAAATTTTACCTTTAGCCACACTGCTCCATTGAAAAGATTGAAGTGCTGCTAGTTTTCCCAGAAATGTTTTGTCCTCATACTAGATAACAGTAGCCACTGCAGTCATTTTGGAATGGCACGTCACGTTGAACAACAAAGGAGCTAATTGGCTGACACTGCCATTCCAAAATGGCTGCGGTGTACAGTGGTTTGGACCATGATAGTTCGTTGGTGATGTGGACACCAAGGAACTTGAAGCTCTCAACCTGTTCCACTACAGCCCCGTCGATGAGAATGGGGGTGTGCTCGGTCCTCTTTTTTTCCCTGTAGTCCACAATATAATCTCCTTTGTCTTGATCACGTTGAGGGAGAGGTTGTTATCCTGGCACCACACGGCCAGGTCTCTGACCTCCTCCCTATAGGCGGTCTCATCGTTGTCTGTGATCAGGCCTACCACTGTTGTGTTGTCAGCAAACTTAATGATGGTGTTGGAGTCGTGCCTGGCCATGCAGTCATGGGTGAACAGGGAGTACAGGAGGGGACTGAGCACGCACCCCTGAGGGGCCCCCGTGTTGAGGATCAGTGTGGCAGATGTGTTGTTACCTACCCTTACCACCTAGGGGCGGCCCGTCAGGAAGTCCAGGATCCAGTTGCAGAGGGAGGTGTTTAGTCCAAGGATCCTTAGCTTATTGATGAGCTTTGAGGGCACTATGGTGTTGAACGCTGAGCTGTAGTCAATGAATAGCATTCTCACGTAGGTGTTCCTCTTGTCCAGGTGGGAAAGGGCAGTGGGGAGTGCAATAGAGATTGCATCATCTGTGGATCTGTTGGGGTGGTATGCAAATTAGAGTGGGTCTAGGGTTTCTGGGATAATGGTGTTGATGTGAGCCATGACCAGCCTTTCAAAGCACTTAATGGCTACAGACGTGAGTGCTACGGGTCGGTAGTCATTTAGGCAGGTTATCTTAGTGTCCTTGGGCACAGGCACTATGGTGGTCTGCTTGAAACATGTTGGTATTACAGACTCAGTCAGGGACATGTTGAAAATGTCAGTGAAGACACTTGCCAGTTGGTCAGCACATGCTCGGAGTACACGTCCTGGTAATCTGTCTGGCCCTGCGGCCTTGTGAATGTTGACCTGCTTAAAAGTCTTACTCACATCGGCTACCGAGAGCGTGATCACATAGTCATCCGGAACATCTGGTGCTCTCATGCATGCTTCAGTGTTGCTTGCCTCGACGCAAGCATAGAAGTGATTTAGCTCGTCTGGTAGGCTTGTGTCACTGGGCAGCTCGTGGCTGTGCTTCCCTTTGTAGTCTGTAATAGTTTTCAAGCCCTGCCACATCCTACGAGCATCAGAGCCGGTGTAGTACGATTCAATCTTAGTCCGGTATTGACTCTGCCTGTTTGATGGTTCGTCGGAGGGCATAGCGGAATTTCTTATAAGCATCCTGGTTGGAGTCCCGCTCCTTGAAAGCGGCAGCTCTACCCTTTAGCTCAGTGCGGATGTTGCCTATAATCCATGGCTTCTGGTTGGGGTATGTACGTACGGTCACTGTGGGGACGACGTCATCGATGCACTTATTGATGAAGCAGGGACTGATGTGGTGTACTCCTCAATTCTATCTGAAGAATCCCGGAACATATTCCAGTCTGTGCTAGCAAAACAGTCCTGTAACTTAGCATCTGCGTCATCTGACCACTTTTTTATTAACCGAGTCACTGGTGCTTCCTGCATTAGTTTTTGCTTATAAGCAGGAATCAGGAGGATAGAGTTATGGTCAGATTTGCCAAATGGAGGGCGAGGGAGAGCTTTGTATGCGTCTCTGTATGTGGAGTAAAGGTGGTCTAGAGATTTTTTTCCCTCTGGTTGCACATTTAACGTGCTGGTAGAAATTAGGTAGATCGGATTTATGTTTCCCTGCATTAAAGTCCCCGGCCACTAGGAGTGGATGAGCGTTTTCCTGTTTACTTATGGCCTTATACAGCTCATTGAGTGCAATCTTAATGCCAGCATCGGTTTGTGGTGGTAGATAGACAGCTACGAAAAATATAGATGAAAAGTCTCTTGGTAAATAGTGTGGTCTACAGCTTATCATGAGATACTCTACCTCAGGCGAGCAAAACCTCGAGACTTCCTTAGTATTGGATTTTGTGCACCAGCTGTTGTTTACAAATATACACAGACCGCCACCCCTTGTCTTACCGGAGTCAGCCGTTCTATCCTGCCGATGTAGCGTATATCCTGTTAGCTGTATGTTGTCCATGTCGTTGTTCAGCCACGACTCGGTGAAACATAAGATATTACAGTTTTTAATGTCCCGTTGGTAGGATAATCGTAATCGTAGGTCGTCCAATTTGTTTTCAAGTGATTGAACATTGACTAATAGGATTGATGGAAGAGGCAGTTTACTCGCTCGCCGTCGGATCCTTACAAGGCACCCCGACCTATGTCCACGATATCTCTGTCTCTTTCTCATGCGAATGACTGGGATTTGGGCCTTTTCGGGTGTCTGTAGGATATCCTTCGCGTCCGACTTGTTGAAGAAAAAATCTTCGTCCAATACGAGGTGAGTAATCGCTGTCCTGATATCCATAAGCTATTTTTGGTCATAAGAGACGGTGGCAGAAACATTATGTACAGAATACATTACACATAATAGTACAATTGGTTAGAGCGCTGTAAAACGGCAGCCATCTTCTCCGGCGCCATTCTCTAATCTTCTCTCTATCCTAGTCCAGGGGAGTAATCATTAGTCCAAACAAAAACAAGAGTTTATTTTGGACAAATTCAGGTAGATCCCTCCCCGTTTTGTTAAGTTTACTCCCGTTTAAGAAATGTTTTGCAACAGAATCAGCCTAATGAATAGGCACAGTTGAGGTTCAACTTTTACCAGGGTATTGTTTTCCAGGGGGAGGGCAGAAGGAGAGTTCCCATGTTTTGTTGCCTTTCATGTTTCCTCTCCAATCAGCCGTGAGGGGGAGTTTCCTTTCCTCTATTTCACTGCAAAACAATGAAACCCTTTGAAGGGAGAGAAATTTGATCAATCCTCAGTGCCTTCTGTGTTCTTTTAGGGTCGGTATCTTCTGGCAAGTTTTCATTATGATTGACAGGTAATCTAGGCCTGTCAGTGTCAAACACAGGGGCCGGAATAACAACAGAAAATAAAAAAGGTTTAGATAATAGATCTTAAACAGAAAACAGTATAATTTTGTACAATATATCCTTGAAAAACAGTGAACATATGAGTTCCTCTGTTAGACAGGGAATTACACTGAGAAGTTAGCACAATGATGCTAGTGGAGAACAATAATTTATTATCGTAAGGAACACATAGTTCCTTTAAATACTGTCATTGATCTAATTATTTCTACTGTTACCTGCTTCAGATAAAGTAGTTATTGCATGTACAAGCAAATACTCTGGATCAGTGTTCCTTTTAATTGGTTCAAATGTATTTGGTGGTATAGCACAAGAGAACAAGGATGGGGTCTGAAGAATGTGTGTATGGTCAAGTATCTATTCTAAATCATTGTGGTTGGGGCATGAACGATTGGTGTTGGATTTCGTCCTTGGAAAGCCTTATTATCCCCTCTCGAAAGTACTACAAATTGATAAATGTATGTATTAATGCTATAATGCTTTTGATGTACACATTCCTGCCTTCAGTTCATAAGAAGAAAAACATGTTACTTTGTATTGTCAGAGTAATAGGCTACTGTAATGGCAACTGGTGAAAAACACTAATACAAGTTTGTCATGTTTTCTTTGTTTGTCGGGAAATGTAACACACACACACACACACACGTACCTGTTTCTATCCTAGTCCAAGAGTTTCTATTGGACAAATTCAGGTCGATCCCTCCGCGTTATGTCCAGTTTGCTCCCGTTTAAGAAACGTTTTGCAACAGAATCGGCCTAATGAATAGGCCCAGTTGAGGTTAAACTTTTACCAGGGGTATTTTTTTCCAGTGGGAGGGCAGAACGAGAGTTCCCATGTTTCGTTGTCTCATTTTTCCTCTCCAATCAGCCGTGAGCGGGCGTTTTAAAAGGCGTTTCCTTTCCTGTATTTCACTGCAAAAAACAATGAAACCCTTTGAAGGGAGAGAAGTTTGAAGACAGACAGACGGGACAATCCTCAGTGCCTTCGCCTGTGTTCTGTAGCTTGAGTTCACAATTTTGTCAACTTCAAAGCCACAACGATTTGTGTTGAATCTCTTATTTCGAATGGAATTGTAGAAATGTTCGTCGACTTATGGAGGATTTAAATAGCATGCAGTAAAATAGTAGGCTATTTTGTTTAGAAACGCTGTGGGTTACCCACAGTCGTAAACTGTAGCCAAGCAAAAGAAGTTGATGCAAGCCAATTGCCGTCGGCGGAGTTGCCTGGTCATTGGGAAACTACCCGACGTAGAGGATCAATTGCATTCAAGGAAAGACACCTGAGTTGGAAAAACATTTTATCTACAGTTCTGCAAACTCATCGCGCAGTAGGCTAAAACCTTGTTTGGCAGCGGGTCGTTTATTTTGTTTTTAAGGACTTTTTTGTAAAGCGATGGTGGGCAGACTAAACTTGCTGAATGTATGTTACGACGACCCATTGGACATGAGCTGCAAAGCCGAGCGGGGACTTGACAGCCCGGACTCCGGACTACCCCCCAGCCCCAGTCCGAGCCACTGGCTGCTGCCTGACTGCGGGGATAAAGGTGCCATAAGCCCTGTGTCTGAAGACGAGAGCAGAGGGTCATCCTTGGTACGTAGGCTGTCGCACGTTTTACTACAATTGTTAAATTTCATTGCGGGATGTTCGCAGTTACTGTAAGGCGACGTTTTTGCTAAGTTAAAACATTGTTTCCGAAGTATATAGCCTCTGAATACGTTTCCCTTCGTAGCCCATATTGAATCTGGGTCATGTCAATAGTAAATCGGGTCAGTAGCCCAAGCCAATCACGTTCGCCACAGTTACCAAGGATTTTCTCCTTATGTGAGTACTGACACTGTTGCCTGACTTTGCTTGCAGGTTCCCATTTTATCGATTGGATCTGTTCCGCAGCTGCACACCTTGTCCTACGGGGAGGGCATAGAACTTGATCCACTACCGCCCAAGAAAATACGGTATACTGTTTTGAATTACTGCATGTAGGCTATGAGTGTGTGATTTGAAATTGTCTTAGCACTGTCCACTGGTTGCTGCAGATGCCTCACTATTTGTATAAATACCATTTAACAAATGTGGTGGACCACAGATCAAATGTTGCAATTTTGTACTTCTATCTGTAAGCCTGTGTAGGCCTACTGTTGCCAAGTGTATTTCTTGGAGGTTTGCAGTGCTTGAGACCTCCCGGATATAATTTCTAAAACTATATCAAGCTGAACATGCAGTGAAATGAAACTTGCCCAAACGTTGTCATTCGTAGATACACGTCGTCTATCCACTATGACTCAGAACGTCACTTTATCCACGACATGGCCATGCAGCCCAGAGGCCTGGGTCTGGAGAACTGCAGCCAGATGGTCCTGGCTGTCCCTCACAGCACCTGGAGACACTACAAGACCCAGCTGGACCTCCAGCCTCGGCAACGGGCCCAGCGCTTCCAGAGCACCACTATCGTGTACCCCAAGCACGCTCGCACCATCTACACCACAGAGCTGAGCTACGACAGCCGCCGGCTAGCCAGGAGATTCATGTCGAGCGTGGAGTTGGAGGCTGCTGACCGGAGTAGGCTACCCCAGTGAGGTTAGGGGAAGGCTGTGCACGGCCTGGGGGAGAAGTCCCAGGGCCCTGTGGGGCCCAACCATCCAACAGGCTGACACCACCCGTGGACCCAAGTTACAGACAGTCGTCTATTAGTTTAGATTGGAAAGCATCGTAGCCCATGTTTGAGTACCAGGAAGATGGAAGCCATATCTGGAGTATCAAACAAATAGCAGGGACATCTGAGTAAGGCTGCCATCTACCAAAGGGTTTATCCATTAGTAGCTAGTAAAGAGTTTTCTCTGGTATGTCAAAGTTGGATTCATTTTAATGCCGAGTGTTGAACTGTGGACTGAGACCGGTGATTGTGTATACTATCGCCATGGAGAAACGTATAAACCAGATTTGGAAGTGAAGGATTGTAAGGGAAGTGTAGTCGGGACCATCACTGTCAAAACATTGTGTTTAGGCATAACCATCGCAGTGGGGCTCAATGAACAATGAGCCTACATTATAAGATTCTAAGGCAATAGTGGAGTTTCCATGTGGTTTTTGTAAGCGTTCACATTTGTAGGCACACAGGGAGTTGTCAAATTACTGTATATGACTGGGCTTTAAAATGTCTCTTCAAATCACAGGGTATTATAGGGTATTTGTTGCACAATGTTACTTACCACAAGCAGAATATCCTTGCCTGGATAGTGTAACACTGAGCCATGTATAGAGATGTATGATCCTGGTGTAACACCAAACCCCATCTTAGTCTTGCCTAAACAAACACATTGTCATCTACTGTAAGTATGGTCATGGAGCAGAAAGCCACAGCTTATTTTCATATTGTGTAAAAGGGTTGCAAATTACAGCAAGTTCTGTGTTGAACGTTGGGACATTTCTTATTTCCACAGAGATCGTTGCAAATTGAGGAAGTTGGTAATGAGTAGCGAGAGATTATCCAATGTGGCATTATTGTTCTCAGTTATAAAGCTTTAGCATTTTCCTGATGGTGAAGTATTGTTTTTACTAACACCTTGTGAACTGTCCCTCAACGGTTCATTCTCTTCACCTATCCCCTTATGGTTGTTTCCACAGGTTTTGTTTTGTTATGTATTTATTTGATGCTCATCAACTCCTTTTGGTAGCCTAATAGTAATACACGGGTATCTTCCCTCAAGGTCCTACAAGGATACACATCTAGAGAACCTGAACTATCTTGTGAGATACCCAAAGTGCCTTATTGAAGTAAAATGATATTGCTTTTAAGTTCTGTTTTTAGTGTCTGTTTGAAATAAAGACAAACTGTCTTTTTATATCAGATTTGAGAAGTGTTACAATTATTTGATGTTATGTACTCAATGCCATACTGACAACACACCAATTCAAAATATAGTATCAGGATTTTATGTTTTGGTTATCAATTAGGGATGTTCATTTTTAAGTAGCCACTAGATGAGTAGAGCTACAACTTCAGCTCAATTACAATGTTCCACCAACTCAGATTGAGACCGCTATGCTATCAGCTGGTAGAGCACGGCGCTTGTAACGCCAGGGTAGTGGGTTCGATCCCCGGGACCACCCATACACAAAAATGTATGCACACATGACTGTAAGTCGCTTTGGATAAAAGCGTCCGCTAAATGGCATATTATATTATATTATTATTATTATAGAGAAGGTGCTGCACGTAACTAGATTTATTAGTGTGAAAACAGCCCCACCTAGATGTGATGGTGTGTAATGGCACCACTGCGCCAAGTGTCCCTTGAACAGCCCCAAGCAGTCCATCACCCCTTGCTGTGAGGCCAGGTAGCGTTTCCTCCGGTTGGCCTTGTACACCTCTATCCTCTCCGCCTCGGCCACCGGGTCCTCCAGAATGCCCTCCCACCTCAGGATCTCCCTGGCTGGGCCGTTAAGGTCGGTGGGGCTTGGTGGGTACCAGCATCTGGCCCTGTCAAGTGTTTCCTCCTTGTGTTTCATTGTCTCTCGCTGGGATTTATTGGGGTGGAGGCTGGTCAGACTCCTGGCCTTGGTCTTTTTGCCGTTGTAACCCTTCAGTATGGGGCTCCCGAGTGGCGCAGCGGTCTAAGGCACTGCATCTCAGTGCTCGAGGCGTCACTACAGACCCCCTGGTTCGATTCCAGGCTGTATCACAACCGGCCGTGATTGGGAGTCCCATAGGGCGGCGCACAATTGGCCCAGTGTCGTCCAGGTTTGGCCGGTGTATGCTGTCATTGTAAATAAGAATTTGTTCTTAACTGACTTGCCTAGTTAAATAAAGGTAAAAAAAATAAATGAAGAGCTCAGTGACTTTCAACGTGGCACCGTCATAGGATTTCACCTTACCAACAAGTCAGTTTGTCTAATTTCTGCCCTGCTAGAACTTCCCCGGTCAACTGTACGTGCTGTTATTGTGAAGTGGAAATGTCTAGGAGCAACAACGGCTCAGCCGCGAAGTGGTAGGCCACACAAGTTCACAGAACGGGACCACTGAGTGCTGAAACGTGGAAAAATCGCCTGTCCTCGGTTGCAACACACAGTATCGAGTTCCAAATGCCAAGCATCGGCTGGAGTGATGTAAAGCCACCATTGGACTCTAGAGCAGTGGAAACGCGTTCCTTGAATGATGAATCACGCTTTAGCATCTGGTAGTCCAACAGACTAATTTGGGTTTGGGGGATGCCAGGAGAACGCTACTTGCCCCAATGCATAGTGCCAACTAAAGTTTGGTGGAGGAGGAATAATGGTCTGCGGCGCCACCTTCCTGTTCAAGTGAGCACAGCACAACAACGTGAGTCCAAAAATGTATTGTATGCTGCTGCATGAACTATGTAATATGCCAGGGAGATATGTATACTGCAGCTAAGAAAGTAATACTATGTGTATGTTGTGTAGTAAGCTGTTAGTAGCCCATGTGCCTCTAATAATTTGGTCCCTTTTCCCCTCAGAATTTAGCCTACTGTTCTGACTTGGTAGTGCACATGTAGCCTATAGCCTGTTTTAGAGAAATGTCACCATCAAATATTGTAAGAGCTTTCATCGTCTACTTATATGCCCCCTTTATTTATCTTACGATTCTGACTTGGTGTACAGGGAGAATACTGTAAGAACGGCCCATGTTCTGAATTCTGTTGCTCTACATTTGCGTTGAAGAAATAGTTATATTGACTACGTCCATCCTAGCTCGCTCATTAATGTCTTAATCGAAATTACAGACTGCCTCTTATCCGCTTGTCGTCCCCTTATGCCATAGTTTGTACGTCTCAATTGTCAGTAGAAACCACATTTGTTTAAGCAAGTCAGCCATATCAGCTATGTTTTTTAAAAGGCAGTAAATGAGACTGAATGAACTGTTTCCCTGCCAGACAAGGCTCCGATGATAGCCATGTGTATCGGTGATAAGGTGTTGGGACTGCTGTTGGGACTCTGCTGTTGTGACAGCTTTATGTAGGCCATAACAGTTTGTGCGCACCGTTTGTTACCGTCATAGTCCAATTAATGTATTGTTTAGTGTTGTGTTGTGTAGTGGCTTTGCTGGGTTTGCCCCACCAAGATTTACATGCTAAAATCGCCACTGGAAATAGCGCACATACAGTGGGGAAAAAAAGTATTTAGTCAGCCACCAATTGTGCAAGTTCTCCCACTTAAAAAGATGAGAGTGGCCTGTAATTTTCATCATAGGTACACGTCAACTATAACAGACAAATTGAGAATTTTCTTTCCAGAAAATCACATTGTAGGATTTTTTATGAATTTATTTGCAAATTATGGTGGAAAATAAGTATTTGGTCACCTACAAACAAGCAAGATTTCTGGCTCTCACAGACCTGTAACTTCTTCTTTAAGAGGCTCCTCTGTCCTCCACTCATTACCTGTATTAATGGCACCTGTTTGAACTTGTTATCAGTATAAAAGACACCTGTCCACAACCTCACAGTCACACTCCAAAGTCCACTATGGCCAAGACCAAAGAGCTGTCAAAGGACACCAGAAACAAAATTGTAGACCTGCACCAGGCTGGGAAGACTGAATCTGCAATAGGTAAGCAGCTTGGTTTGAAGAAATCAACTGTGGGAGCAATTATTAGGAAATGGAAGACATACAAGACCACTGATAATCTCCCTCGATCTGGGGCTCCACGCAAGATCTCACCCCGTGGGGTCAAAATGATCACAAGAACGGTGAGCAAAAATCCCAGAACCACACGGGGGGACCTAGTGAATGACCTGCAGAGAGCTGGGACCAAAGTAACAAAGCCTACCATCAGTAACACACTACGCCGCCAGGGACTCAAATCCTGCAGTGGCAGACGTGTCCCACTGCTTAAGCCAGTACATGTCCAGGCCCGTCTGAAGTTTGCTAGAGTGCATTTGGATGATCCAGAAGAGGATTGGGAGAATGTCATATGGTCAGATGAAACCAAAATAGAACTTTTTGGTAAAAACTCAACTCGTTGTGTTTGGAGGACAAAGAATTCTGAGTTGCATCCAAAGAACACCATACCTACTGTGAAGCATGGGGGTGGAAACATCATGCTTTGGGGCTGTTTTTCTGCAAAGGGACCAGGACGACTGATCCGTGTAAAGGAAAGAATGAATGGGGCCATGTATCGTGAGATTTTGAGTGAAAACCTCCTTCCATCAGCAAGGGCATTGAAGATGAAACGTGGCTGGGTCTTTCAGCATGACAATGATCCCAAACACACCGCCCGGGCAACGAAGGAGTGGCTTCGTAAGAAGCATTTCAAGGTCCTGGAGTGGCCTAGCCAGTCTCCAGATCTCAACCCCATAGAAAATCTTTGGAGGGAGTTGAAAGTCCGTGTTGCCCAGCGACAGCCCCAAAACATCACTGCTCTAGAGGAGATATGCATGGAGGAATGGGCCAAAATACCAGCAACAGTGTGTGAAAACCTTGTGAAGACTTACAGAAAACGTTTGACCTGTGTCATTGCCAACAACATGATGATGGATGTAAAAAGAAAACCACTGGGGCTGATATGGTTGATCCATTTCTGATTAATTCTCAGCTAAGATCTTTCTTATCTTTGAAATGTATTCTAAATGTACATCAGTCGGGTTTTAGACCAGGTCATAGCACTATCTCTGCTGCATCCCTAGTTATAAATGATGTGGTGAACTACACTGCTCAAAAAAATAAAGGGAACACTTAAACAACACAATGTAACTCCAAGTCAATCACACTTCTGTGAAATCAAACTGTCCACTTAGGAAGCAACACGGATTGACAATACATTTCACATGCTGTTGTGCAAATGGAATAGACAACAGGTGGAAATTATAGGCAATTAGCAAGACACCCCCAATAAAGCACTGGTTCTGCAGGTGGTGACCACAGACCACTTCTCAGTTCCTATGCTTCCTGGCTGATGTTTTGGTCACTTTTGAATGCTGGCAGTGCTTTCACTCTAGTGGTAGCATGAAACGGAGTCTACAACCCACACAATTGGCTCAGGTAGTGCAGCTCATCCAGGATGGCACATCAATGCGAGCTGTGGCAAGAAGGTTTGCTGTGTCTGTCAGCGTAGTGTCCAGAGCATGGAGGCGCTACCAGGAGACAGGCCAGTACATCAGGAGACGTGGAGTAGGCCGTAGGAGGGCAACAACCCAGCAGCAGGACCGCTACCTCCGCCTTTGTGCAAGGAGGAGCAGGAGGAGCACTGCCAGAGCCCTGCAAAATGACCTCCAGCAGGCCACAAATGTGCATGTGTCTGCTCAAACGGTCAGAAACAGACTCCATGAGGGTGGTATGAGGGCCCGACATCCACAGGTGGGGGTTGTGCTTACAGCCCAACACCGTGCAGGACGTTTGGCATTTGCCAGAGAACACCAAGATTAGCAAATTCGCCACTGGCGCCCTGTGCTCTTCACAGATGAAAGCAGGTTCACACTGAGCACATGTGACAGAGTCTGGAGACGCCGTGGAGAACGTTCTGCTGCCTGCAACATCCTCCAGCATGACTGGTTTGGCGGTGGGTCAGTCATGGTGTGGGGTGGCATTTCTTTGGGGGGCCGCACAGCCCTCCATGTGCTCGCCAGAGGTAGCCTGACTGCCATTAGGTACCGAGATGAGATCCTCAGACCCCTTGTGAGACCATATGCTGGTGCGGTTGGCCCTGGGTTCCTCCTAATGCAAGACAATGCTAGACCTCATGTGGCTGGAGTGTGTCAGCAGTTCCTGCAAGAGGAAGGCATTGATGCTATGGACTGGCCTGCCCGTTCCCCAGACCTGAATCCAATTGAGCACATCTGGGACATCATGTCTCACTCCATCCACCAACGCCACGTTGCACCACAGACTGTCCAGGAGTTGGCGGATGCTTTAGTCCAGGTCTGGGAGGAGATCCCTCAGGAGACCATCCGCCACCTCATCAGGAGCATGCCCAGGCGTTGTAGGGAGGTCATACAGGCACGTGGAGGCCATACACACTACTGAGCCCCATTTTGACTTGTTTTAAGGACATTACATCAAAGTTGGATCAGCCTGTAGTGTGGTTTTCCACTTTAATTTTGAGGGTGACTCCAAATCCAGACCTCCATGGGTTGATACATTTGATTTCCATTGATACTTTTTGTGTGATTTTGTTGTCAGCACATTCAACTATGTAAAGAAAAAAGTATTTAATAAGATTATTTCATTCATTCAGATCTAGGATGTGTTATTTTAGTGTTCCCTTAATTGTTTTGAGCAGTGTATATGGATAAAAGGCAACATTGTGCTGCCCTCTTCATTGACCTGTCAAAGGCTTTCGATTCTGTTGATCACTCACTACTAATTCAGAGGCTTTCCTCAATTGGCCTAGACCAGGCTGCATGTAACTGGTTTAAAAAATGCTTGACAGATGGAACTCAATGTGTATCTACTGATGGTGTTAAATCAGGTTTCCTGGTGGATAATGGCCCTCTTCTATGCCATGTAGGTTGATACATTGCTATGTTTCCATTTATAAAGCCCTTTTACAAAAAGTCCCACTGTACCTAACATCTTTACTAAACTTTAGACATATGAGTTACCACACCGGGTCTCAGGGATGGTTAACTCTGGAAATTCCTTTGGTCTCTACTGAGTTAGGTAAATCAGCTTTTAGTTTTCTTGCACATTATTTGTGGAACAATCTTCCAAATGTTCTTAAATATTATGTTTTTGTGACTCTGGGGCAATTCAGAAGGCTGATTGAGGACCTTATTATAAATTATTTTACTGAGGAATGTGTTTTGTATGACCATGTTGTTCTTTCTGTTCGCATTTTGTATTTAGATTGATGTGCTTGTGTATTTTCTGTAATTTATGTAATTCAGGGCTCATCTGTAAAAGAGACCCTGGTCCCTGGTCTCAATATGACTCCCTGATAAAATAAAGGTTAAATAAATAAACAATTGTAACGCTCACATTGGTAGACGTCAAAGCATCCTGACTCCATACCACCGTATCAACGTTTCTGCTGTGGTTCATTCTCTACCGACGATTGGGCTAACTCGATACAACATCAAACTATTGATAGTATATCGAAGCATACATAGCACTACACTTTACACAAAGTATAAAACAAGACACCATATTTTGTTACAGTAACCAATCGCTGCAACACTAGTTACTCGCATGTGATCCTCCACAGAAACGAACCAATGAGACACGAGCTAAACAATACTGACATCAATGAGGGGTGTGACTTCCCTCTAACAAGTCTGGGCAAAACATCTGCGTGATACAATTGTTCATTATTGAACATTGGACCAGACAATAATGTACCATTATTGGATACGCGTAATTACGAGTTAAAGAATCAGTCTTAGTCTAGTAATGCACTTTCACTTTTTGTAATGAATTCGTACACAACTCCAAGGGAGGATCGATTAGATGACGGGTGTGATATAAGCGATGCACAACTACTCAGTAAACAGTCGGAGCATCTCGGTGAGTATGACTGCGTAATGAAATGTTTGCTAACAGCATTTCTCGACGAGATGCATGCCCAATGGGATTATTGAATACTATGGACTGTTTTCATGAACTGTATTGTCTTGCGTGTCTCTTCTCTGTATCCTATGCCTGAATGTACATTACCGCAATACAGTGCAATAGTTTATACAGTACAGTACATTTTAAAAAGTTGTCCATAGGTTAACAATCCATACAGTTAATAAAATACAGTATAACTATTACTTCTCTGAAGTTCCCTTACTACAGTATCTTTCTTATATTTCATCTACTCTAGCCCCTCCTGACCAACCCAGTCTGACTCCTGCTGGTGGTACCAGTCTGACTCCTGCTGCTGGTACCAGTCTGACTCCTGCTGCTGGTACCAGTCTGACTCCTGCTGGTGGTACCAGTCTGACTCCTGCTGGTGGTACCAGTCTGACTCCCGGTGATGGTACCAGTCTGACTCCTGCTGGTCTGATTCCTGCTGAGGGTACCAATGTGACTCCTGCTAGTGGTAGCAGTACCAGTTTGAGCGCTGGTGCTGATCAACACTTTCCGACACTGGGTGTGTGTCTGGGCGATGATGCCCTGGCCCTTGCCAAGAAGGAGGAGAGAATCAATGGCCAAATTAAGAAACGGTAAACCCACTCAAGTATATTATGCAAAGTTTAACCTTTGATAACAGTTCTCAACACCCAGAGGTTTCTTCTCACTTCATCTGTACTTGACCTCGAGCCGAATTCTCGCTCCTTCCTAGTTCCGCAGCTGGCCTGCCTTATCAGAGACTAACTATTACTCTTCGCCTCCCTCCTTAGAAACAAGGAACAGAATATGAACTTTCTGCACTTCCCATTGTCTCCTACTTTCCATACACCAAATTCCTATCCACCCTTCATTGACCCCAACATATACATTCCTTATACATGTAAAGTAATCAATAAGTTATAGTATGGTAACAGGAATAAGTATATTTCAAGCTAGAATCCAACAGATGCTTTTGATCAGCAACTTCTGTTCTGGGTGTGTATGTGTGTGAAAGAGAAAGAGAGAGATGATTGAGAGAAATGTGTTTTTTATTAACAGCTTCTGTCTAATGTGTGTCTGTGTGTGTGTCTGTGTGTGTGCCTGCGTGTGTGCATGCACATTAGGGCTGGGAATTGCCAGGGACCTCACAAAATGATATTATCACGATGCTTAGATGCCGATACGATATTTATTGCAATTCTCACGATTCTATATGTATTGCGATTATGTATTGCTCACTATATGTCTGCTACAGAGAGACAAGAGAGCCATGACAAAAACGAGTTTTGATCAGTCATGGAAATAAAATTGCTGAAAACATGTTGGCTCACTATTTAAAAAGAAGATGGAGAACAAGTTACTGTATAGGATGAGAAATACCGGCATTTTGGCAAAGCTACAGCCGACTAGTGCTAGCTAACGCTACCTAGCAAAAAATATATAATATATTTGAGTCATTTAGCAGACGCTCTTATCCAGAGCGACTTACAGGAGCAATTAGGGTTAAGTGCCTTGCTCAAGGGCACATCAACAGATTTTTTACCTAGTCAGCACGGGGATTAGAACCAGCGACCTTTCGGTTACTGGCACAACGCTCTTAACCACTAAGCTACCTGCTGCCCCTTTTACAAATCGATACTTGGAGTCAAAGTATCAATATAATATCATCCAAAATAATATCGCGATATGTAACTATATAGATTTTTATCCCCATCACTAATGTGTCCGTCCATCAGGGGTCACCTGGTCGTAGCCCTGTTCGAGAGGCTGAGCAACAATAGGAGCACTGTTACCCTGTCTGTCCCAGACCAGAGTCCAATGGAGAGGTTCAGTAAGCGTCACCTGAATGTTACTCATCTGTGTGAGCAGTCGTGGTGTGAGATTAAAGTGGTCTATGGGTTCCTCAAGCCTCACATGAAGAGGAGAGAGATGAGAAGAACTGCAGTGACGACAGGGGCCAGTATTCATCTCGCTAGAGGTAAGCAGCATGTTGTGCCCTAGAAAATAATAATATATTTCCATAACTATAAGGAACTACCTCATGAGCCAATGCTGAATGGAAGGTCATTGGCCCATAGACTACTTTCATGTAACACAAGTAATTTTGTAACTTCAACTTTCCCCATACAATAAATCCCCCATAACATTAAATCCCTGTTAGTTCATGTGTATGCTTGATCCCCTTATGGATGATGTGGAGGTAGTTTAGTTAGTGATGATAACCTATTTCCTGTCCTTGATTATATGTGTCTAGAACTAGAGGCAAACCCGGATGCTGTGACCGTGGTTGTTCATACCAAAGAGGACAGGGAAGCCTTGAAACTCATCAAACTGATACAGATGGTCCCAGCTCTGGAGTCAGGTATGGTGGTACTGATCAGATTTCACAGAGTACACTAAATATGATCATACTGTAATGATGACAAAATATTATAAGCTGTTGCAAATAGCCATCTCATAATCAGTGTGTGTGTGCGCGTGTGTGTGTGTGTTTCCCAGGCCAGCTTGTGCGGGAGTTTCCAGTGTTAGGTGTGTTGGATGGGGTGTTTTTCCTGGGTGTGGTTGATGAGCTGTATTGTAGTGAGTCTGGGGAACTGGTCCTGAGTGAACTGAAGACCCGCAGTCACAACTCCCTGCCTCACCCTGCCCAGGCCAAGGGACACTCTCTACAGGTAGGCTACACTCAGTGCCGGCCCAGCCAATAAACGACATAAGCGGCCGCTAGTGGGCCCCCAACCATCCACACTGCAAACAAAAATCAAGTTGTTTCAACTAATTATTATTAATTAATTGGTTCCACAGCCTTTTTTTAGTTTACTTTTTGGTCAAAGTGTTACCAGAACTAAACTTTTTAGTTGGCCCAAACTTAGCTCCAACATGAGAAAACGTAGGCAAACATTTTGTCAACTTAAAATGATGTGTTTTGCTCAAATTGTCTCGTATGTTCATTTAGTTAGAAATTAGTATTTGGGCAGCTTACCAAAAAAATAGTCTGTAGAACTAGTTACACACACACAGTGATTTTAACATACAATGTTTTCAACTTAACATATTGTACATGATTACAGTGCCTCTGGAATCTGGAACCAGTTACTTAAAGGAAGTGTAGCACTTATATCTCAATGCCCGAAACGCATATAATAGTAACTTAGAAATTGTGATCTTGCGTTTGGGGCTTTTCGGCAGTCTTCGTGGTATTTATATGCGGGGAGCATAAATTGTGCAATTGTAAACTAACAACAACAAAAAATTATAGTTATAACCCATGTATATTGGTTAATATACAGCACTACATACAGTTGAAGTCGGAAGTTTAAATACACCTTAGCCAAATACATTTAAACTCAGTTTTTCACAATTCCTGACATTTAATCCTAGTAAAAATTCCCTGTCTTAGGTCAGTTAGGATCACCACTGTATTTTAAGAATGTGAAATGTCAGAATAATAGTAGAGAGTGATTTTATTTCAGCTTTTATTTATTTCATCACATTCCCAGTGGGTCAGAAGTTTACATACACTCAATTAGTATTTGATAGCATTGCCTTTAAATTGTTTAACCTGGGTCAAACGTTTCGGGTAGCCTTCCACAAGCTTCCCACAATAAGTTGGGTGAATTTTGGCCCATTCCTCCTGACAGAGCTGGTGTAACTGAGTCAGGTTTGTAGGCCTCCTTGCTCGCACACGCTTTTTCAGTTCTGCCCACAAATGTTCTATAGGATTGAGGTCAGGGTTTGTGATGGTCACTCCAATACCTTGACTTTGTTGTCCTTAAGCCATTTTGCCCCAACTTTGGAAGTATGCTTGGGGTCATTGTCCATTTGGAAGACCCATTTGCGACCAAGCTTTAACTTCCTGACTGATGTCTTGAGATGTTGCTTCAATATATCCACATAATTTTCCTTCTTCATGATGCCATCTATTTTGTGAAGTGCACCAGTCCCTCCTGCAGCAAAGCACCCCCACAGCATGATGCTGCCACCCCCGTGCTTCACGGTTGGAATGGTGTTCTTCGGCTTGCAAGCGTCCCCCTTTTTCCTCCAAACATAACGATGGTCATTATGGCCAAACAGTTCTATTTTTGTTTCATCAGACCAGCGGACATTTCTCCAAAAAGTACGATCTTTGTCCCCATGTGCAGTTGCAAACCGTAGTCTGGCTTTTTTATGTCGGTTTTGGAGCCGTGGCTTCTTCGTTGCTGAGCGGCCTTTCAGGTTATGTTGATATAGGACTCGTTTTTACTGTGGATATAGATACTTTTGTACCCGTTTCCTCCAGCATCTTCACAAGGTCCTTTGCTGTTGTTCTGGGATTGATTTGCACATTTCGCACCAAAGTATGTTCATCTCTAGGAGACAGAACGCGTCTCCTTCCTGAGCGGTATGACGGCTGCGTGGTCCCATGGTGTTTATACTTGCGTACTATTGTTTGTACAGATGAACGTGGTACCTTCAGGCGTTTGGAAATTGCTCCCAAGGATGAACCAGACTTGTGGAGGTCAACATTTTATTTTTTGAGGTCTTGGCTGATTTCTTTTGATTTTCCCATGATGTCAAGCAAAGAGGCACTGAGTTTGAAGGTAGGCCTTGAAATACATCCACAGGTACACCTCCAATTGACTCAAATGATGTCAATTAGCCTATCAGAAGCTTCTAAAGCCATGACATCATTTTCTGGAATTTTCCAAGCTGTTTAAAGGCACAGTCAACTTAGTGTATGTAAACATCTGACCCACTGGAATTGTGATACAGTGAATTATAAGTGAAATAATCTGTCTGTAAACAATTGTTGGAAAAATTACTTGTGTCATGCACAAAGTAGATGTCCTAACCGACTTGCCAAAACTATAGTTTGTTAACAAGAAATTTGTGGAGTGGTTGAAAAACAAGTTTTAATGACTCCAACCTAACTGTATGTAAACTTCCGACTTCAACTGTACATATATGTTAGGGTCCATAATCTGCTACCTGAACTTTATTAATAATTAGTTGAAACAAGTTTTTTTTTTTTTTTTTTTTACAGTGTAGCTTAGGTCCCCCAAAAGGCCCTGTGCTATACACCTGAGCTGGTGTGGCTACACTACCACACCAGACACACACACTATATCTCTCTGATGTTTCTCTGACCTCTTTGGTGTCTCTCTCTTTGACCTTTCTTTCTCTTTCTGGACTCTCTCATTTATCTGTCCCTCTGGTCTCTTTGACCCCTCTCTGATATCTCTTTATTTCTGATCTCTCTCTCTCTGATCTCTCTCTCTCTGATCTCTCTCTCTCTGATCTCTCTCTCTCTGATCTCTCTCTCTCTCTCTGATCTCTCTCTCTGATCTCTCTCTCTCTCTCTCTCTCTCTCTGATCTCTCTCTCTCTCTCTCTCTCTCTGATCTCTCTGATCTCTCTCTCTCTCTGATCTCTCTCTCTCTCTCTCTCTCTCTCTCTCTCTCAGGTAGGTGTGTATAAGCTCCTGTTTGACTCCATGGTCCAGGGTTCTATGAAGAGGGATCAGCTCCTCCACTACCTCAAGCTCCGGCCTCACCAGGCCTTTGGGTCAGAGCTCCAGAGCTATGCCCAGAAATTGGGCCTCCTGGCGGTCACCTTCGGAGAGCTCGTGGACCACCTGTTGGTTGTGCTAAATTTTTCCAACCTCCAGCCCATTGACAAGCTACGCCTGGAATACAGACATCAGAGCTCCGGAGGCCTCATAGGAACCAGGGAGGTAGAGTTTGAGGAGACCCAGCTAAGGGCTGAGCTCATGGGCTACCTGGCCTTCTGGAGGGGGGAGAGGGAGCCCCATGGAGTGGATATTGAGGATATAGAAGAGGCTTGGAAGTGTAGGATGTGCCCCTATGAGGAGAGCTGTGAATGGAGGAGGAGTAGGTTGCAAGAGGTGATGGTTGAGGGCAGTAAGAAAGCCAAATTGGATGGTGCTAAATCGGAGACTCCCAATTCAAGTCAAAGGGTCCCAAATTGAAGTTTGTCAGGTCTGAGAATCCAAAATGGGATAGTCCAACATTGGATAGTCCAACAGTGGATAGCTTGACATTGGCTTGTCTTCCGTCATGATTTTATGGGTTTACAATAGGGTTGAATAGCGGGAACCAGGTTACCGAGATTTACTGAGATTTCCTGCCCAAACCCACTCCCTTTTCCCTTGATAAATAACTGTGAGAAACCGGTAAATTATAATACATTATTTCTATGAACAGCATGATGTGCAAAGGAACTTTTAAATTATATGTGACAGCGAAAAGCCTGGATCTCAATCCCATTGAGCACGTCTGGGACCTGTTGCGAAAAGCCTGGATCTCAATCCCATTGAGCACGTCTGGGACCTGTTGAATCGGAGGGTGAGGGCTAGGGCCATTCCCCCCAGAAACGTCAGGGAACTTGCAGGTGCCTTGGTGGAAGAGTGGGGTAACATCTCACAGCAAGAACTGGCAAATCTGGTGCAGTCCATGAGGAGGAGATGCACTGTAGTACTTAATGCAGCTGGTGGCCACACCAGATACTGACTGTTACTTTTGATTTTGACCCCCCCTTTGTTCAGGGACACTGTTAGTCTGTGGAACTTGTTCAGTGTATGTCTCAGTTGTTGAATCTTGTTATGTTCATACAAATATTTACACATGTTAAGTTTGCTGAAAATAAACGCAGTTGACAGTGAGAGGATGTTTCTTTTTTTGCTGAGTTTATATATGGATGGCCTAGCCTACCTCTTTCAGGTAATAAATTAAATGCAATATTAGCCTTATATTTAACTAATGAATGATGGGTTATGCGTAAGCTTCTAACTTATAGCCTCTGTCTCTTGGGCAATACGCACCTGCGCTCTGCTGGCCTCTCCTTAAAATATTAGCTGTCCCAGAAAAATCTAGACTAGAATAGCTTGCTGGACATTTTTTAAAGCATTTCTTATACTAATAGACTATTCGAAGAGGGATGCAAGCTCTTCTTTGCTGAATGTTAAATATAGCAGCCAATAGAACTCACAGGGAGTTTGAAACGAGCGAACGCGCGATGGCAGTAGGCTATACCAGTTATTTATTCAGACCCATAACCATTCAATCTTTGTGAAGAGAAATGATAGCCGTCTGCATCTTATTCTAGTCCTATGTTATTTAAGTATGACATTACAATGATGAAGAGAAGGACAACAATTTATTTCATTCAGGGGTGCAACTTTCACTGTGGACGGGGGGGTCATGTCCCCCCCACATTCTGAAATTGCATTTCTGTCCCCCCCAGTTTTATCATTGCAATGTGATAGAAAAAGCGGCAATGGTGTGCGGACACCTCCGAGCGGTCAACTGGATATAGGACCTTGTGGACACCACAGAGCGGGCTGTCAGGCTGTGTGAAAGCCAAGTTTCTGGAAGGCTGGCTTTTTAGTTGTTCAGTTTGTCATTCTTTTGTTTTTTGTCTTAAGTTTGTTGTGTAGTAAATATTTCAGCTTTTATTTTCATTGTTTTGTATTCATTTTTTCCTGTAAAGCACATTGTGTTGCATTCCATGTCTAAAATGTGCTGTATAAATAAAGCTTGATTTGATTTGACCAGTTTGTCATTAGTTGTTCAGTTTGTCATTCTTTTGTTTTTTTATCTTATGCTTGTTGTGTAGTAAATATTTCAGCTTTTATTTTCATTGTTTTTTTTTATTTATTTTTTCCTGTAAAGCACATTGTGTTGCATTCTATGTCTGAAATGCGCTGTATAAATAAAGCTTGATTTGAGTTGACCAGCATAGTTCAGTGTGTATGTGTTGCGCTCTTTCACCGAGTTGTAAAAGCAAGCAGAGCAGAAACTGGCTACTCCATTAGTTGACTGATGTAGCTGGCAAGGTAACTGCTGTTTAACTTAACAGACAAAAACCGAAACAAGTGTTTATTCGCAGTGCTGAGCTAGTATTGTAACTGACATGTAACGCTAGCTAAAGTTTCATCCCCTCTAGACTGAGGTGAATGAATTAGCTACGCTAGCTAGTAGCTACCACAGCCAGGTCAGCTCTAGCCACCTATCTGTTAGATAGCAATATGAGGTGGCTATTATTACTATCTAACAGCTGTTGTTTTTATGGAAATGTTTTGTAGCCTTTGTTTTGTCCAGTTTCAACACAAGTAAATGAACTTGGCTAGCTTTTGCCAGTTGATTTACCTTTAGAGAGAGAGCTGGCCAAAAGTTGGCTAAGGTTACTGTAGCTATTATTTTTGCCTCAATCACACTAGACCTGAATCAAACGATGAAACCATCGGCCAAAGGATTGTAGGCTGATATTCTGACATTTATTTTGTGCAATGTGAGTTTTTATTAGTCAGTATGGCATGTAACATTGTTGATCTGTCAGTTTCCCTAGCTAATACCCTACTTTTCATGATATATCAAATGCGCAAAAATAATTTAAGAAATAGGTTAAATTACCTGAGATTCTCACATGGCCCTTATATTAGGCTATCTGTATTACTGGGCTATATCAGCCAACATGCTAGATGTAGTTTGAAGAGAGCAGAGTTGGAGAGACTTGCACTTTCTCTTGAGCTATACTGAACAAAAATATAAACGCAACATGCAACATTTTCAACTATTTTTCTGAGTTAAAGTTAATGTAAGGAAATCAGTCAATTGAAATAAATTCGTTGGGCCCTAATCTATGGATTTCACATAGATTAGGGCGCATGCCCTGCCTGGCCCACCCACTTGGGAGCCAGGCCCACCCACTGGGGAGCCAGCCCTGCCAATCAGAATGAGTTTTTCCGCACAAAAGGGCTTTATTACAGACAGAAATACTCCTCAGTTTCATAAGCTGTCCCGGTGGCTGGTCTCAAACGATCCCGCAGGTGAAGAAGCCGTGCCGGATGTGGAGGTCCTGGGCTGTCGTGGTTACACGTGGTCTGGGATTTTGAGGCCGGTTGGACGTACTGCCAAATTCTCTAAAACGACACGAGACATCTGTGGCATTGTGTTGTGTGACAAAACTGCACATTTTAGAGTGACCTTTTATTGTCCCGAGTACAAGGTGCACCTGTGTACTGATTAAACAGCATGATCAGCTTCTTGATATGCCACACCTGTCAGGTTAATGGATTATTTTGGCAAAGGAGAAATACTCACTAACAGGGATGTAAACAAATAATAAGCTTTTTGTGTGTATGGACAATTTCTGGGATCTTTTATTTCCGCTCATGAAACATGGGACCAACACTTTACATGTTGCGTTTATATTTTTGTTCAGTGTATCTTTATGGAGTCAGATAAACATTTTAATAGGCTAAGTGCTTAGTCTTATTATGAGTCAGTGGGGGAATGTGAGGTACAGTGGGGGAAAAAAGTATTTAGTCAGCCACCAATTGTGCAAGTTCTCCCACTTAAAAAGATGAGAGAGGCCTGTAATTTTCATCATAGGTACACGTCAACTATGACAGACAAAATGATGAAAAAAAATCCAGAAAATCACATTGTAGGATTTTTAATGAATTTATTTGCAAATGATGGTGGAAAATAAGTATTTGGTCAATAACAAAAGTTTCTCAATACTTTGTTATATACCCTTTGTTGGCAATGACACAGGTCAAATGTTTTCTGTAAGTCTTCACAAGGTTTTCACACACTGTTGCTGGTATTTTGGCCCATTCCTCCATGCAGATCTCCTCTAGAGCAGTGATGTTTTGGGGCTATCGCTGGGCAACACGGACTTTCAACTCCCTCCTAAGATTTTCTATGGGGTTGAGATCTGGAGACTGGCTAGGCCACTCCAGGACCTTGAAATGCTTCTTACGAAGCCACTCCTTCGTTGCCCGGGCGGTGTGTTTGGGATCATTGTCATGCTGAAAGACCCAGCCACGTTTCATCTTCAATGCCCTTGCTGATGGAAGGAGGTTTTCACTCAAAATCTCACGATACATGGCCCCATTCATTCTTTCCTTTACACGGATCAGTCGTCCTGTCGTCAGAGTCCCTGGCGGCGTAGTGTGTTACTGATGGTAGACTTTGGTCCCAGCTCTCTGCAGGTCATTCACTAGGTCCCCCCGTGTGGTTCTGGGATTTTTGCTCACCATTCTTGTGATCATTTTGACCCCACGGGGTGAGATCTTGCATGAAGCCCCAGATCGAGGGAGATTATCAGTGGTCTTGTATGTCTTCCATTTCCTAATAATTGCTCCCACAGTTGATTTCTTAAAACCAAGCTGCTTACCTATTGCAGATTCAGTCTTCCCAGCCTGGTGCAGGTCTACAATTTTGTTTCTGGTGTCCTTTGACAGCTCTTTGGTCTTGGCCATAGTGGAGTTTGGAGTGTGACTGTTTGAGGTTGTGGACAGGTGTCTTTTATACTGATAACAAGTTCAAACAGGTGCCATTAATACAGGTAACGAGTGGAGGACAGAGGAGCCTCTTAAAGAAGAAGTTACAGGTCTGTGAGAGCCAGAAATCTTGCTTGTTTGTAGGTGACCAAATACTTATTTTCCACCATAATTTGCAAATAAATTCATTAAATATCCTACAATGTGATTTTCTGGATTTTTTTTCCTCAATTTGTCTGTCATAGTTGACGTGTACCTATGATGAAAATGACAGGCCTCTCTCATCTTTTTAAGTGGGAGAACTTGCACAATTGGTGGCTGACTAAATACTTTTTCCCCCACTGTATAATATGCATATATCAAATATTGTCCCACTACAACCTCCTCAACCTCAGGCGGCTGAAGAAATTCGGTATGGCCCCTAAGTCCCTCTACTTGAAAATCAGAGACAAAGTTTGAATATTGCTCTCCATCAATGACTCCCACCCACATTTACTGAGCTTGAGCAATTTTGACAAAAACAGTGGACAAATGTTGTCCTAACAGTTGTGCAAAGTTGGTAGAATCTTATTCAAAATGATTCCCAGCTGTAATGGCCACCAAATGTGATTCCACCAAAGGGTTTAAAGACATATGCAAATCAAGACATCTTTGTTTTTTATATTGTATTAATTTGGAAA